GCCCACGCACCACTCGTCTGCTCCGTTCAGTAGCTAGACTCTGCCCCCCAATTGGATATTATGAATTTAAACTTTTTTCCTGGGGAATTTTAAGTTTAGTGAATTATCCCGATTACAGTACTGCTTTTATAACTAGATACAGTTCTTTGGAGAGAGAAAGCAGTCACGTGATTAGACAGCAGGGATGTACAAACTGCAGCTCTCTAGTCTAGTTAGTACAATGATCATTGTATATATATAGCTGGAGCAACGCTGGTCGATTAAACTCACATTCCATACCCCGTTGTGTGGCTGGGGTTCAGGCTTATTTGAAGTTTTTTGTAAATCTTTCTTTTATTGAGGCATAAAATTATACGGGTACAGAATAAAGAAAGGGAGACAATAATGAGTAATACAGGATGGGAAATCATAGTTCACTATACATCATCTCCAAAAATTGTGAGCCTCTTTTTTTTTTTTAACCACAAGATAAGATGAAAGATTAACAGTGAGGAAGTATTCTTGTGAGGAGCGTTTCCCAAAGCTGGCGTATGCTTAATTTAAATTATCACAGACTAGGCATTTCTGAAAGTAAGAAGTTTAGGTAGGCAATCTCAATATCCTGTTGGTTGTCATGTCGTTAAAGATAGCACGAAAGAGTAAACTAAAGTAGCTTCGTCTAGTGACTAGTTTGCTAAACAATAGAGAATTAGGTTAACCATATTAGCCTATCTCACTGTCATGACATTCCCCAGGAAGGCTATAAGGTGTCAGACTCTCTGTTAACAGGCTTAGTGTAAGAGATTATTATAGAGTAACATGTTAATGAGCATCGGTTATACGTAAATGGTTAACTGAGGAAACATACAATTATTAAAACTTTGCTAAGTATTATGCGATGAGGCTAAGGCATGACATGACATTTGCAAATCTAGCACCAGTTTGGTAAAGGTTGTAACACTTGCAGTGATTAGTAGGAGTCCAGTGGGCATTTCAGTTGTCCACTTGGGCAATCAGCCTACACCACAGTGTGGAATGGCATTGCAAGAAACGAGAGCCAGTCCATCAGGCTGTGGAGGGAAGCCCCCTTAAACCCGCACTCGGCTGGGAGGTTGTCCTGCTTCTTTTGCCTGCCCATTCCGACCATCCGGTCGCATGATCCTCCTTGTTGCGGTTCTTCTCCTGTCCCTCCCGAGCACTGCCGCATGTCTTCGGCCCGAGGCCTTAGCGGGGGCCCTTACCACATGTCCATTGACCCCATCGTCAGGGTTATGAGCCCAGGGTTCCACCGGGTCCCGGCTATCTCCCTGGGTGTATGGGTGGCGATGGAGAGCTACCTCCAGGTGGGCTCCCAGCTCGGAAGAAGAGTGCGGTCGGGTACTGGGTGCGTGGAGGGTTCGCAGCACTCGGTGGTTGCGGTCTGGGGCTAGGTTACCTCTCTTGTGGTGGCTTTTTGTGTGGAGGACATTTCCTTCTGCGGCGCCATCTTGAGGTCCTGTGTGGGTGAGGAGCAGTTTGCTTGAGGCTGGGTTGCCAGAGTGTCTTGTTATTTAGGCTTATTTTGAGTTTAATCTGCCGTACCCGTATCTCCAGTTTCGCCCAGAAAACTTCAAATATAGCATTTATCTTGGCTGAGTAATCCGGCACCCCTGTGTGGCACTCTGATGTCTTGCATCCGCCCCACCGCCGCCATATTGGGTATGCCATGTGCTTGGTTGCCCTAGTGCTGCTTCTTTTTACTGCCTCTCCAGTTGCTTGATGTGGACCCAGATGACCCCCATTGGTTCATAGGGGCAGGAGTAGGAGGTGAGAGCCCAGAGGGATCCACGTCCAGGTCACTCAGCGCGGGGAGCGGCTGTCTCCCCACTGCTCGATCTCTGGCAGGCCTTGGGGTATATTGTCCGGTCCCCGGGGATTGCATGCTTGATTTTGGTAACAGGTGATTCCCCCGGGTGTCCCTGTCATGATAGATGCTCTCCGGTGGAGGATTGTGCCGGATTTTGGGGGATTACAACCTAAAAGTGCAGGATTAGGCAGGAGCTGAGATTCAGCACAACCTCTCAGTCTGGGTGCTAGGCTCCGCCCCCGTTTTTAATTAAAGCAAAACATGTTTTAAAAAGCATTAAAAAAAAAATGATTTATTTTAAATATCATTTGAAATTCTCTTAAATTATTCCTGTTAATCATGGATTTTTACAGACAGATGGGATATATTGGGGATTTTATATGTAATTGCTGACTTCATTTACCTGTTACCTGGAGGGGTGTAGGGGCAGTATAATGTAGGAACCTAGGAATTGAATAGGGATTTACAGTTTGTTGGATGAAATATATTGGTCCATAATGAGGATGGTCTTGGTATCCATGTGGTGGGACGGTGGATTGGAGATATTCTTCCTGTGCCATGCCTTGCCTAGTTCCCTTCCCACACCTACAGGTAGGTGAACTTGGCCAGCGTGGCTGATTGTGCAACTTCACAAAAAATCAGCATGTGGAAATGTCTGTACTAGAAAGAACATGCTGATGACTTAAGGATATTTCTCAGTGTAGTGTGTGAGAGCAGGAAAACCAAAATCTCTGCCCCTAACCCAAAGAAATGGTGAATTTTGTAAGAATTTGTGAAGGTAATATGGGAGATGAACCCCCCAGAAAACTGGTCAAGTCTTAATGTAATCTAGTTTTGTATATACAGATGTGGCTCTGTCTAGATAGATCTATTTGGGCAAGGAGAGGTCCTATCCTCCATATAGAAAAGGGCTTATTCGCTAAACAGTCTATTGTGAAATGTTTTCTCACTATTGATTGTTGGCTACAAGAGAAACACACCATGGGAACAAAGTTTTCAGCCGCTACGTACTATATGGCTTCTGCATGTGTAATCACAAACCCCAAGGTCTGTCCCTTTACCCTTCCGAGGGTTCAGCTACACGCATCACTGCCGTGCATTGCTAGCTCTTTGAAAGCTAAGGGTGAACAGGCCCACAATGACAGGCATAGGCTGCGTTCCCAGGAGCTCCCTGGTAACAGCCCAAACAAAAGACCAGATCCAGCGAGCCGGCTTGCTCTGCATGCTGAGTGAAAACTGGCACAGCACCAGAGCCCAATACGGCGACTGACCAGGTTTAGCCAGGAGCTTTTACTGCAGTTGCAAGCAACACATCAAACAAAATCGCTTCCGAGCACAGCGTCCGCAGGCTTAATGTATGGCAACAATGTCACATGCCCCTGCCCAGGGCTGGCCAAAAGCTACATGCCCATCTCTTACAGAACTTAGCGCTGGCAAAGCATCACAGGAGTTATATTCTACTACAGCTGGTACTCCTACAACTCTCAGCCGCCACATGCTGGTTGAAATGCAAAGGTGTGGCAGGTGGCTAACACTATCTTAGTGCCTTCACCTTTAACCACATTTTCCAAGAGTCCTTTGCACTCCCCCCATATAAAAGATCAGATAATGTATATGTAATAACACCGATCATGCACCCCTTACCTTTGCACAGGACGGCCAGCCTACCACTCCCTACTGTTCCCCCCTCTGTGATATAAATAAAATTCTCTACCTCATTTTTTCCCCCCTTTCATTAAACACAAAAATGTCCTTGTTTTGGAGGGAGTGAAACAGGATCCAGGATGGGAGCAAGGAACAGGCCAGTCATTCTCTCCTCTTGTGAGCAGAAAGAAACCTCATCCATAAACAGATTCAGGCCTACACCTACCTGCGGTGACCGGGGAGTGAAGCCAAGGACATGATAGCTGCAGCACAAGATTCCATAGAGAGTTCATTGCTGCAATCCAGGAAAACGGTCCTGGCCAATGGGAATCCTTGTTTTCACAATAACATTCATCTCTTAATTTGGGTTTTATGGTGCCATCCTCTTTTTCGATTTTAAGCCTGCCTTAGGCAATCTGATGACATTACCTCACTGGCTCTTTCTTGTAGCAATCTCATTGTGTTAATGAGCTTGCTTTGCTGAGTGATGGCTGCATTCAGCCAACAGTCTAGTTTGTGGCTAATTAACATTATCACCTTACATTGCCTCTGAGAAGAGACACCGTGAATGCAATAACTGCAAGATGCTGAGCAAAAAAGACCCAAACACGAATACAAACAGAATTAGAAAAAATAAATAAAAAGGTGGGTGAAGCAATCAAACGACTGACAACAAAGTTAAAAGTAAACAGACGAAATGGAAAAAAGAACTCCAACTCTTTATTTTGATCTAAATTTTGCAAGTACAGTATATACTCGAGTATAAGTCTAGTTTTTCAGCACATTTTTTGTGCTTAAAAACCCCCACTCGACTTATACTCGAGTCACTGTATGTATTATGGCAACTTAGAGAGCCGCGGCCGTCAGAGCCATGGCAACGATCCGCGCGGCAACCAGACCGCGAGACTTACTGTGGAGCTGACCGGAACAGAGGAGAAGGGAGCTGACAGGAGCTGCAGGAAATGTAAGTAAATGCTTCCTGCCAGCCCCCCCACTTCACAGCCCATGCCACTGGACCACCAGGGATTAAGATAGCCCCCCTCCCTGACCAGTTAACAAGCAGGGAGGGGGGGACAAAAAAAAAATTAAAATAATAAAAAAATAATATTAAAATTTAAAAAATTAAAATAATAAAAATGCCCTCCCCCCACCCAGTTCACACACACTACACAAACACACACTCTGCATTATATACACAGAGTGTGTGTATATAATGCAGAGTGTGTGTGTATATAATGCAGAGTGTGTGTTTGTATGAGTGTGTGTGTATATAATGCAGAGTGTGTGTGTGTATATAATTATAAAAATCACAGAATTTCATAGCCCCAAGTTTTACCCTCGACTTATCCACGAGGCATATCATATTTCACAATTGTTGGTCACAAAACTGCACTCGACTTATACATGAGATCGACTTATACACGAGTATATACGGTAATTTTATTTACATAAAGGGGTACTATAAGCACCATAATCGCTACAGCGAGCCGCCATGCCCTGATTCTATATCAAGCGATGTGAACCCCTGTACCCTGGACTCTATGCACAAATTGTGAAACTGACACAGAAACGAGGTTATCTGCTAGCCTAGTATCTGTAGTGTCCCTTTAATACCACGCAAGCCCCCCGCACCCCTGTATCTTTCCATACCTTATATGAAACATACTCCTTTTATATATTACTTCCTATGTAGCCTAACCTACATATACCAAATGTCAAAAACCATTGCAAGAAAACAGAACACTATAGGATTAAGTGATGATGGCCCGTTCATCTCGATGATGGCCCGTGTGCCATGTGCCCCATTGTAACCCTGCAGTTTAAAACATTGCTGTACAAATCACAGAGCTCCATTTATGGTTTTCCATTATTTCATCTAGATATGGCACAGGTCTCTCATAGTCTATCGGAGAGAGGAATGTTAATAAGGCACAATTGATGGTACTATGGTAAATGGACTGTCCCTTTAACCATTCAGTGAGTCTAGGGAGGATTGCCAGACTCAAACACAATGTATCATGAAAGACATAGCGGACTAAACAAACGCTAGCAGCCAGAGAGCTGGATAACATTTAATCGGCTCTCAGACTTGAGCACAATCTGTGCAGTAAACAATATTTAGAAGTGACAACTGCTAACTAGATTACTATTAATACCAGCGTTCATTTAATGGAGAAATGGCATGAAAGACCAGCTCCATTGCTCTTTCTTATAGCCCCCACACCAGGCGTAAGATACAGGAGATCTATTTTATGATCAGGAATTAATGATATTTGGCCCTGAATTCCAAGGTACAGGCTTAATGCAGTAACACAGTCTGGGTTTACAGGAACCTATTGTGTACAAGAATAGCAGTCGGTATAAATCTGCTAAGGAAGGACTACGATTTTCTTCTCGAGTTTCTGTGATGGCAGTAGCGCAGCTCTTATAATCCTGTCCAGTTCTTCTAGAGCCAGCTGTGCATGAAGCACGCAGACTGAGTCCGTCTCGCATCGCACCACAAATTTCAGCAATCGGTATAGATCCAGCAGGACGTCATGCAAGACCTGTGGGGGAAACCAGAGACAGATAGGAGTCAGAGGAAATAGTTCAACAGTCTCATTAGGTTTCCTTCCATATCAAGTTTAAACTGTTCATTCAATCCAACTTTCAGCTGATCCAATCTGTACAAATGGCAGCATTTGTGTGGGATGGGATATAGTTTCCCTTTTATAAGAAGTAGCACACATCAATACAATAACAAACATTAAGTAGTAATCATGGCACCTGGTTTGCCAGGAGGGGTAGACAAAACGGAAGCTGTATTCGGATTGGGTGGTGGTTTCTCCCAATCCAAACACATCAGGGACCAGTACAAGAGAATGAATGGCGTACCCCATAAAAGCCTAAATTCACTTGTTTAGTACCAAAAACATATCAGCCCCATAAGCTTTACACATAGATTTATTTTATATAAACGTTATAAATCTGTCCTGGTGTTTGCATCTTTGTACTGACAGACAAGTATATGTATCTGGTTTCAAGCAATATGTCCGGTATTTATGTTATATCATATTGTGTGACGATCTGTATATTTTAGTCTTTCTTCTGACAGTAAAAAGGTCTGAGGCCCTTCCACCAGTAGTCCCTTCTTTTGTTTAGATAAGTTAGAGAGAAGCTGTGATAGTGTGATTCTCACCTGTGTTCAAGGTGTCTGGTGGCTGATTACTATTGCACACGTGCCTTTATATCTGTCTATGACCTTGCATTATTACAGCTGATCTTACAGAGAGAAATGGCTGGCACCAACCTGAATAACGTTAGATTCCATGTTTACTGGAGAGACGGTGAAGGCTGTGGGCCTAGCTGTGACTAGGGCTCATTATTCTGCTACCATGGAAACTGATTAAAAACGGTGTGTGTCTGTTAATAGAAACAACATACTGGAAACCTGTACGACTAGCGTGCTATATAAAGCAATGGGAATAAAATGCAAATACCGTAAAATGATGGAGGGCACCCACACATTCACAGAAAAGTACTTAAGAACACACAGGATTATACGGAAAGCTCAGGTAATCAGCATTGCTACAGGAAAATAAAAGAATCCCGCGATTGGGGAAAGTTGCGGAAGTGATGCTGGTCAATGTGTGTTTGTGACCATTCTAGGAATTACTAAGACCAGTACTGATTATAGCGCAGAAACCGCTAGCGGCTGCACAATAAGATTGATGTAGCTCCCATACTGCAGGGATGTGATAAAACCTGTATACCGTGTCCACTGCTACGTGCCACGTGCAATATAAGGCTCCTGGCTCTGTAGTTGATGACTGTTCAGGATACCATGGGGGTGGGTGGCACAGTGTGAGACATAAGATTAGGCAACTAGAGGGGAAGGGGGTATGCAAACCAGACTGCACAGGATTATCCTAATAAAACTAAAATGAGCAAGAATGCAGTCATAATTTGTGTAACCTCTTAAAAGTGCCCCCCTCCCTCCCCAGAACAAATCACCCAGAATGCACACACCCTCTCTGTCTATCAAGCTTTAGAACGGTTTGTCAAGTCAAGGACACTAAGCTGCACTGGAGGCCACACACTGCGGCAGCACCGAGTCCTCGCTAACGCTGCCTCTGTCATACTATACAAAGCTCAGAGTGTGATAAACAGCTGCCGTCTTTAACCCCATCCTTGCTATAGTATTTATAGTCTTCAATACATTGCTCTCATCTGTGTACTGTGATACACTCTCCCGTCCTGTCCCCACATTAAATTATAAAGCTTTATATTGGTTAGAATTGGCTTCAAGAAACAAATAAAACTCGAATATATCGAGGCGAGAACAAATGCAGCGTAAAAACTGTATTTTTAGATGTAGCTCTGCCTAACACGGGGACAGGGAGCGCATGTATAGGATAGTTTTGATCTATACATCACTTCCAGGTACCATACCTGCCATCGGTCTTCCTGAATTATCTCAGGACTGATAATAAATAACCTCCTCCCTTTACGCAGATTAATCTAATATTCCTACTGTATTAACTGCAGACCATACTGACACACGTCTATCAGATGATCCGATTATTTTCCTAGTTTAGGACCACGCAATTTAAGGTTGGCATGCCCATATCACAGGAAAAGTGCTTCCCTGGAGCAAGCAGAATTAATATCTCGCTAAATTTTTATTGATTAGTAGATCTAATACATTTCTTTTCTGACTCTTTATTTTCCTCCTTTTCATTTACTGCATTAAGTAGCAATGTTTGCTGGGAGAATTTTGCAACACAAACTCGTGTTTCTACAAGAGACGGTAAGCCCGATTTGGGTGGTGAGTAGTCTGCATTGAAAGGGTTAAGGTCCTTCCTCAGTAATTACCAGACTGAGGATGTGCTTAGCAGGGGAACATGTTTAGGCATTACCTAACCAGAAATGCAAATTCGTATCTGGAAGCCTCTGGTGGGGAAAAAATAATAATCTGAAATCTCATCCCACGAAGACTCAAACAACAGTAAGCACGCACATTGGAATTACATGCAGAGGGGTATTTTCAAATAATGAGTTGGTTCGTTAATTACATTATATTAGGGAGTGGTAATTATCTAGTCGTCTGGCTCCTATCTATTAAACTATGGAATGGTGATGGGCTCACATTGTAGTATCTATAAATAAATATGTGCATTCCCATTTAGGTAAACAAATCTGATTTATGAACACAATCGGCCAACATCTGTCCAATGACAGCTAGCCTGAACTAAGCACAGACGGCTTGCAATTAGTCACACATTACTTGGGCAGGATTGGGTTCTGCGATGGCAGGAGGCTGCCAGTTTGATACACACCTCATTTAGATGTCAGAATATGGAGACTGTAACTAATCCATTTTTTATATTTCTACTTTCCTTTTTACTTTGCCCTAACACATTGCAAATCTTTTGTATTTCCTAGTCAGTAACCTCAATCCAGAACCTCGCCACCTTATTCCTGTAATAAGGAGGCCAGTAACCTCAATCCAGAACCTCGCCACTTTATCCCTGTAATAAGGAGGCCAGTAACCTCAATCCAGAACCTCGCCACCTTATCCCTGTAATAAGGAGGCCAGTAACCTCAATCCGGAACCTCGCCACCTTATCCCTGTAATAAGGAGGCCAGTAACCTCAATCCAGAACCTCGCCACCTTATCCCTGTAATAGGGAGGCCAGTAACCTCAATCCAGAACCTCGCCACCTTATCCCTGTAATAGGGAGGCCGCCACCTTATCCCTGTAATAAGGAGGCCAGTAACCTCAATCCAGAACCTCGCCACTTATCCCTGTAATAGGGAGGCCAGTAACCTCAATCCAGAACCTCGCCACCTTATCCCTGTAATAAGGAGGCCAGTAACCTCAATCCAGAACCTCGCCACCTTATCCCTGTAATAGGGAGGCCAGTAACCTCAATCCGGAACCTCGCCACCTTATCCCTGTAATAAGGAGGCCAGTAACCTCAATCCGGAACCTCGCCACTTTATCCCTGTAATAAGGAGGCCAGTAACCTCAATCCAGAACCTCGCCACCTTATCCCTGTAATAAGGAGGCCAGTAACCTCAATCCGGAACCTCGCCACCTTATCCCTGTAATAAGGAGGCCAGTAACCTCAATCCGGAACCTCGCCACTTTATCCCTGTAATAAGGAGGCCAGTAACCTCAATCCAGAACCTCGCCACCTTATCCCTGTAATAAGGAGGCCAGTAACCTCAATCCGGAACCTCGCCATCTTATCCCTGTAATAGGGAGGCCAGTAACCTCAATCCAGAACCTCGCCACCTTTTCCCTGTAATAAGGAGGCCAGTAACCTCAATCCATAACCTCGCCACCTTATCCCTATAATAAGGAGGCCAGTAATCTCAATCCAGAACCTCGCCACTTTATCCCTGTAATAGGGAGGCCAGTAACCTCAATCCAGAACCTCGCCATCTTATCCCTGTAATAGGGAGGCCAGTAACCTCAATCCGGAACCTCGCCACTTTATCCCTGTAATAAGGAGGCCAGTAACCTCAATCCAGAACCTCGCCACCTTATCCCTGTAATAAGGAGGCCAGTAACCTCAATCCGGAACCTCGCCATCTTATCCCTGTAATAGGGAGGCCAGTAACCTCAATCCAGAACCTTGCCACTTTATCCCTGTAATAGGGAGGCCAGTAACCTCAATCCGGAACCTCGCCACCTTTTCCCTGTAATAAGGAGGCCAGTAACCTCAATCCATAACCTCGCCACCTTATCCCTGTAATAAGGAGGCCAGTAACCTCAATCCGGAACCTCGCCACCTTTTCCCTGTAATAGGGAAACCAGTAATGTCCACAGATGAGGAATCTGATCCACCTGCACACTAGACAGCAGGCCTCCAGGCTATTTGCTGTGCCCGCTATGAACGAAAGCATGTTTTATAATACGCCCTTTGTTATATATAAAATGTACTTTCAGCCAGGATTCAGAGTATTGCGATAAGGTGTTGATATTTATTTATAAACTATTTAACCAGGAAGCATATATTGAGATTTCTCTCGTTTTCAAGTATGTCCTGGGCCGACAAACATTGCATTGTTAAAATATGGTACAGTATAATAATAAAAATACCAATATTAAAAAACACAGACGAAGTAGGAAATCGAGTTAGCCAAGATTGTGGTGCTCTATAGGAAAATGAGGATCGAGCTCCTTTCCTTTCATAATGCAGTATAGTAAATGATAATTGCCCATTTCTACATATCTTCTCTATAGCGTGCACCAGCATGACATTCCCGATGCTAAGAATACTCTACGCCAGAGATGGAGCTCAGCTCTAGATCACAGATTTTACCACCGGGAAAATCTAACATTGTTGCAGATTGGCTGTTCTCGAAATGGCTCTTTATAGAGGAGATTTTGACACTAAAATACTGCATTGGGACTATAAATAGATTACAGGGGCGGCTGCCCCCACTCTCAAATGCTAATGAAAAATGAAGAGAACTGCAGAAATTGGCAGTTTATCACAGCGGGTAATTAAGAAATTGAACTTGTGCTGACGCTGAGCTTAAAATACTCTCACACAGTGTGCCAAGGCATTAACCCTGACAGCGCCAGCGAGAGCAGACTGCCGCCAGTCTGTACATTGAATGATATAAGTAAAGGATCTGATCTGGGAGAGAAGGGTGTGTATTCAGGTAGAGGAAGCAGTCTATTGTATCATCATAGTATCCTGCTGTGGGCCATTAATTCACTGCTGTAATGCAGATAAAAAGTGCAAGATCAGCTATCAGGGATCTCCGGAGCCTTAAAGGGACACTCCGACCACAACTCGCCAGCATACATTTAAATATACATACGTCACTCCATCCTCACAGAATTCAAATGGAGGAGACTGAATGGGTCTCCTCTCTTCAGTTCACTACAATATCGGCTGAGCTTATCCCACCCAGAGTCAGGGTTGTTTAGGCTCTGGGAAATGTGAGTGTGAACTCTCAATTTTTAATAAGTGTGCACAACAAAAATACTTAAGATCAGATGGTCGGCACTATATTTGTTTTGTATGTATCTTTTCAGATGATTCCATGAAAATATTTGTTCTGGTGAGATACCAATTGACCATATATAGAGAATAATCATTTAGTGCAACACTATATCTTGGTTTTGGATGTCCTAAGTCACTTGTTTGGGTTTTTGCAGCTGGTTTTAGCAATTCTATGATTTTATGTGCTACACTGTATTTTAGAATCTTTAGTGCTGTTCACGTTTTTGGGTCACTACACTATCGTGTTTACATTTTATTGTGAAGAGCCCAATCCCAGACCTGCTACGCAGACACTATTTATTGATATTTTTTCAGATCCTGGGTAACGTGGCGTCGTTGAAGCTCCAGAATAGTGCTTTGTGGATGTTTCACTCTGGTCTTTCCTGGATGTGTGTTTACAGTTTATATTCCTTCTACAAATACTCTCTCTACCTGCCTTTAGGGACACTCATAGCAGCAAACAAACACAGGAAATGGTTATAATCTGATAAAGTAAGACACACACCAGTAAGCCATATTTAGAGGAACACTGCAGGCACCATAACTATTCTAGAACAGTTTGACTTCTTCGCTGCGATCCAGCAGGAGCCTCTTACTACCTCCACTACAGTATTCAGAGAACCAGATGCTTATCTACGCAAGGTCCCAGATCGCCTAGCTGTTGGGAGGAGCACCCGGCACACACCAGGTAAGAATTCAGACCGTGTTAAAAAACAGTTTGACTGCTTGCGTACTACAGGGCACCATATCCACTACTGTGCACTGTAGTGCTTATAGTGATTGGACTGTTCCTTAACCTGGCTGTGTAGTGCAGACATGTAGATAAATATGTACCTCTGCAGCATCCGGTTAAGGATAACACCATCACCCCATGCTCTGGGCATCTACAGAGGAATGCCATGTGAATACAGGCAGCATCTAATCTACATGGCATGCCTTGTGGTGCCCTAAAAACCAGGAATGCAATATAAAAAAATATTTAAAAAATTTAAACTACCTAGAATTTTACAGGGGGTGGGGGGATGATACAAAAACTGTCTCTCTTTCTTTTTTGCACTCTAAGCATTACCGACAATAATGCAAATTATTCTCTTCCACAAAATGTTCCTTGGTGGACTGCTAGCACAGCTGTTCAAGGCTGGACAGCTTAGGGAATCTTTTCTCTTACAGGAACAGCTTCGGCTTGATAGAAAGAGTCCCGGCACCATAACTACTCCAAGGAGCTATGGTGATCAGACTACATAAAATTCAGCTAAACACAAGTTTATTAGTGCACAGGACAGGTTAGGATCCCTTTACATGATGCCACTTCAGCCTGCTGGTTAATGAGGAAAATACATTTGAAAACCCTCTTTATTGAGCAGATTTAAGCCAGGTTTTTAACCCCTTAAGGACCAAGCTTCTGGAATAAAAGGGAATCATGACATGTCATGTGTCCTTAAGGGGTTAAATGGTTACAGTCCTGGGAAGATAATGCATGATTATATATATATATATATATATATATATATATATATATATATATATATATATATATATATATATATATATATATATATATATATATATATATATTTATATTTTTTTATTTTAGATGTTGGGATTTCAACAGCAATTGCTTGCCACGGAAGGTGTAGTTTTTCATACCAAAAGAATTCGAACTCTTCTGAAAGTTATGAGGTAGGCATCAAACACTGCAGCGTATTATTCTGGTACAAGGATTTATCAGAGCTATTCACTGAGAACTGGCAGGGATTCAAAAGAGTTGAATTAGAAAAAAAACATCCCAAGTCTATTTTCTTCCATATCAGCAATTTTGGCGTAAAGTTTAAAATATACTCTGATTTCCCAAGAATGCTAATTTTAGTGAGTAACCCAGTCTCTCAAACCATAGAATTTTTCTATACGTTTTCCCTTCACGAAAACAATAAGGTCAAACACGTAAAAAGTGCTGAAATCCTGAGCCGTGCACCGACCAGTCTAATTTCCAGAATCCCATCCCGCAGACTGGGGCACCATACAAGAACATGTTAATGGCTATTTGGTACAGCCAAACCAATATTGTGGATGCATGGTTTGAAAGGTTAAATGATCCCAGGAGGTCCAAACTAAAATAACCCGTGTCCCTTTACCAAAGCAATCGACTTTAGTGGGGATTATATTAGGAAGAAATAAACTAGGAATTTCTTATCGGAGGACAGGAGGCCAGCATTATTTCCCCAATCACAACCAGATCTGTCGGACGATTTGCTTTTTACGAAAGAAGCTGCAACTTTGGAAACTCTGTATCAAGGTATCCATTCATAGAATGGTTTAGAAGTTACAGAAGACCATATGCTTATTTACTCTGAAGATAATGATCTCTATTAATGGACAGGCTTATTCACAGAGAACAAGTGATTCACTCTGTGTATGTATTCCCTTTTGATTTTTAACAATGTTTATTTTCTTGCTAGGGGGAAATTCATGAAAATAAATTACAATATTTATCTTTTGTAGTGATGTCCCGAACTGTTCGCAACGGACTCCAGTCAGCAGACACATTCCAGCCAATCAGCAGCAGACCCTCCCACCTCCTGGACAGCATCCATTGTGAAGCTGCATTCTTAGTGAGCTGTCCAGGAGGTGGGAGGATCTGGGAGGGAGGGTCTGCTGCTGATTGGCTGGAATGTGTCTGCTGACTGGAGTCTGCGGCAAACCGTTCGGCGAACAGTTGGGGACATCACTAATCTTTTGTCTTTTATAAAACAGACACTCCTTCACTAGACATCAGAAAACCCTGAATTCTAGGGAAAGCAATGAGTCAGGAAGGTAATCCAGCCACGTAAGTCACAAAAATAATTTTATTGGTTAATTTGTGGTAACAGCGAGGATAGATGCTCTAGAAGTGCCATAAAAAGGGCAAAGCATCAGGAGAGATGTAATCTACGACACGTGAAAGGTTGCCAACCCCTGTTCTAGATGCAGGGTGAAATATTTAAATACAAACCTAAACCACTATCTGTAAAGTGTAGGAATCCCTGTCTGGAGAAGCTGGATACCGTGTGCACAGATCAGTCTATGCTGATTATACATTTTACCACGGTAACAGCATAAATTAACTAAAATTCAGTGACGACACGAGTGGCTGACAACTACAAAAAGGGAAAGCCATTAAACTCGTCAATCCATGGTGAGCGACTGACATTATGGCCACTATAAATTCAAATCTTACGTCTATTACTCGAAAAAGTTTACAAGTAATATTAGACTTTACATTAAATGAAAGAATAATTCAATAATTTTATAATTGTGTGCATTACTACATCTGAAATCCTACTGGGTCAATAAAAATAATTTTACTTATATATTAATCAATAGCTGGTAGGCAAGGAACAATGAATGGTAGGCAAGTCATTAGGATTATACAGTATTGTAATTCTATATATTGATATGGACAGGACACAGGGATAGCTCGCTAGTTAATGAGTTTGGCCGTGGAAGATCAGATGCGGTTACAGACTGCACGGATATCAATTACTAAAGTATGAATATCAACCCGAAATAAAATATTAGAAGCCCAGATAAATCGGTCAACCTTGAGATTTGTGTATTGAACATTTATTGTAAATCAAGCATTCAAAAACAGTTTACACGGTAACTGGCAGACATAACCGAGATCAAGAGATATGTACAATTAGTCCTCTATTACCCTCGTTCTCAATGTGGGAGGTACATGATACACCAGAGATTGGGAATGTGGGTGACAGACACCCGAATACAGAGTGGTCCAACAGTTTAAAGACATTAAAACTTCAAGCGCTGTGCTCAAACTCCCATTACTTGTGGGCGGCAGCAATGACTATCACATCAGCCCCACTACATACAATTAAAAAAAAAAAAAAAAAAGTTACTAGCGCACTATTTCAAATCCCTTTGCACATTTAAAGAACTGGAGGTTTTTAGGATCACTCCAATGGCCACTTAGGTGTAAGCTCACCTGTCAAGTCAAGGCCTCTTAGGGGAGTCTTACAATAACAATTCACCTTGCTGCTTTAAAGGGACACTCCAGACACCCAGACCACTTCTGCCATTGGAGTGGTCTGGCTGCCAACTCCCACTACCCTTAACCCCGCAAGTGTAATTATTGCAGTTTTTTTATAAACTGCAATAATAACCTTGCAGGGTTAACTCCACCTCTAGAGGCTGTCTTCTAGTTCAGTCTTGCCCACCGGCCGACGTAATGACTGGGAGGAGCGGCGGCGAGAAGAAACCACCACCAAGGGACATCGGCGGGGTCTCAGGTAAGTGACCTGAAGGGGTTTTCACCCCTTCAGCAACTGGGGATGGGGGGGTGTGAGGGAGAGGGGACCTGCAGTGCCAGGAAAACGGATTGTTTTCCTGGCACTGGAGTTTCCCTTTAAGCTATAAGGTAAAATCTCTAAAGAGACAGAGAAGGGGATTTTTTTCTAAACTCCTACACACTTGTTAAACTTTAATAGGGTTGATATGTGTGTGCAGGGATTTAGAAATCAAGGTGAATGGTTTTTAAATGTGGCAGGTGAGCTTACACTTTAATGGGCATTGGAGTAATACTAAAAACCTCTCGTTATTTAAATGTACAAACAGGTAACTTTTTCCTTAGGTTAAAGACATTGTCCCAGAGTTTCTCACCTCTGTGACTTTTTCACTCAGTCCTCGGAGAAGAAGGACCACCACGTGTGTAGCTGCCCTTCGCACCTGAGCTTCGGGGTCTGTCCGGACCATGGCCGATAAACAGCTGCTAACCTGTTGGGGGGAGGGGAGGGAGAATTAATTTAACTCAATAGCATAATTTTCAACAATGTTAGAGGACGGGATGGGTGTACCTACCTCGTGTATTACAGGACCCAAAGCAAACTGTAGATGTTGGCACAGCTCCCCCAGATTAGACAGGCTACTGGCCCTCAGCAAGGCATCGTGATCTTTGCAGCCACTAAGAAAAGCATGTATCAGGAGGTCTCTGTACTGTGAAACCATGTCCCCTGTAAAGAAGACATTGAAACGGATATTACCTCACCCAGCTATGTAAAATTTCATATACATTACTAGACATATCTGGCCTTCAAAAATAGATATTTTAAGTAACCAATTTAAAACGTAAAAAAGGCAGCTCTAGCTATTAAATGTTTGCATATAGAATATTAATTACAGACCATCATATGAGTACATTTCTAACAGTAAGGGGGGGGTAATCAATATATTGAGTTGTAAATGTGCAGTCCGTGCCACACATGGGTTAAGTTAATGCTAGCTGTCTGGCACCTGGAGCTATTAAGACATGATATGTCTGCACATTGATCGTGACCCAGAAATCGTTACAGTATACCTGGGTTCCCACACCCAGGAAGCAGGCACCGCTCAGAGCTGAAATCATACTCTTATTACTAGAAGGCTTTGGGCTATGGTAGGGATTACAGTAGTTTATACAGCGGTGAAGGATCAAAGATAAAGGAACACTGTTACAACATGTCTAACCCTGATCACTAACTTCCAGGTCTAATCCCCGATGTCACAGTCATACTGCCAGATCTGCTTATACGGAATGAACAACTGACACTGGCAGAGCCGGCCATACCTACCATTAAAAAGAGTATTAATGTCTACCTTGTGCAGATACATGGCAATGTAGCATTGTATTAACCAACACTGGCAGAGCCGGCCATACCTACCATTAAAAAGAGTATTAATCTCTACCTTGTGCAGATACATGGCAATGTAGCAATGTATTAACCAACACTGGCAGAGCCGGCCAGACCTACCATTAAAAAGAGTATTAATGTCTACCTTGTGCAGATACATGGCAATGTAGCATTGTATTAACCAACACTGGCAGAGCCGGCCAGACCTACCATTAAAAAAAGTATTAATCCCTACCTTGTGCAGATACATGGCAATGTAGCAATGTATTAACCAACACTGGCAGAGCCGGCCAGACCTACCATTAAAAAGAGTATTAATGTCTACCTTGTGCAGATACATGGCAATGTAGCATTGTATTAACCAACACTGGCAGAGCCGGCCATACCTACCATTAAAAAGAGTATTAATGTCTACCTTGTGCAGATACATGGCAATGTAGCATTGTATTAACCAACACTGGCAGAGCCGGCCATACCTACCATTAAAAAGAGTATTAATCTCTACCTTGTGCAGATACATGGCAATGTAGCAATGTATTAACCAACACTGGCAGAGCCGGCCAGACCTACCATTAAAAAGAGTATTAATGTCTACCTTGTGCAGATACATGGCAATGTAGCATTGTATTAACCAACACTGGCAGAGCCGGCCATACCTACCATTAAAAAGAGTATTAATGTCTACCTTGTGCAGATACATGGCAATGTAGCAATGTATTAACCAACACTGGCAGAGCCGGCCAGACCTACCATTAAAAAGAGTATTAATGTCTACCTTGTGCAGATACATGGCAATGTAGCATTTTATTAATGGAACCCTCCTATTATATGTAGACCTACCTGGGTGTAAACCTGGCTGCCGTACTTTAGCAGATAATGAATTTATTCAATGAGATTGCTGCCCTGCTAACGTCCCACTGAATGCACAGAGACCCATACCTCATTCAATAGATTGGAACCACTTGTTCAGGTCCTCAGACAAAAATCGGCCAATGAATGACAGATTCCGTCAGCTGTCCACACGGTAGTGAGAGACAGTCTAACCCGCCATTACAGATACAGCATCATCTGCACATTGCACCTTTTATTCACTGAAGATTGTGCTGAATATTAGAAAGAAATAGTCCAGAATAGCCACTTTCCACAAATCTTGTGAGGTGAAAACCCTCTCTCTTTCTGATGGTGACGATTAGTACAACGTATTAAAACACACACATTCTATCAGCATGTTAACATACGAGACATCTTCCATTTTAGAATTAAAAATGATAACACAAGTCCTGTGTTCCGATCAGATTATCCGTTCTCTCTATAAAGCAGCAGATTCTGTGCAGACGGATGTATTTTTGTATATATTTCCTGTACTTTCACAATAAGCTGCTCCCCGTCTTCTGTTGGGACAGACAGAGGAAGCACGATAACTCTGCCACACGCAAGATGGAACACGTTCCCTGCCCTGGGAACGGCACACGATTAATGCATGTGGGAAAGGCTGCAAATCCCAAAATACTGGGTGTAGGGTACAGTATACGTGTCCTGCAGTCTGTCCTCACTTAGAGAAAGTCTACGACATGCAGATACAGGGAAGGTCTCCACTCTTAGCCCGTATCGTTAACAGATATCAATATTGATTTCCCTATCGCAGTATTACAAATATATCAGATGGCAGTGAATAGACACACTCTAAGACAGAATGACTTGTAGCAATCCATACGGCAATAACATGTACTAACAAACCTCGAGTGCAACAAGAAATATACAACAAAAAGGCCAAGTTAGCTGGTGGACGCGCGGCTCAGGAAATAACGGAAATGGACCTTACCACATCGCACAGAGTGGTGCAGTATGTGCCTACCTCTGTGTCATGGAGTGAGGTCACAGCTCACTGAATGGTAGCTGCCAATACAAACTGATCACTTTCTGAGAATTATGGCCTATTCGGTATGTGATGGAGACGTTCCCTCCCCCAACATTTTATCTCCTATTACATTGGTAATGCTTTCCTACGGACTGGCTGAATGCGCGCGTGGCTCGTGCCGATGACGGAAGAAGAGGGAGGAGAGTCCCAGCACCGAGGGAGCCCGGGGCTGGAAAAAAGGTAAGGGATTAACCTTCCTCCCCCTTCAGCCCGGCGGGAGTGGGACCCTGAGGGTGGGGGCACCCTTAGGGCACTATAGTGGTCCTTTAACCCCTTAAGGACCAAACTTCTGGAATAAAAGGGAATCATAACATGTCACACATTTCATGTGTCCAAAGGGGTTAAGGGACAAACTTTACTTTGTGTTAAACAAGAAAATAAAGTTTGGTTAAAAAAAATAAAGTTGTGTTTCAGTGTGAACACAATATCAAAATATACACAGACTGTAATTTTACGTTTCCAGAATTATAAGACTTTCTGTTATGGCAACAAAACATTTTGTCCTTTTTGGTAACTTGTGCAAGTGTTCCATTTACTCGGATTAATGGGGCCAGGAGAATATGTAACTTTATCCAGCATTTACTACACAGTGTAAGTTTAACACTACATTTAATAACCTTACCCATTACTCGGACACATCTCATCAGCACCTCTCCCACCTTCATTCTGGTCTCTGGGCCTCGAACTCTGCAGGCAGGAGATGCAGTATTTCCATACTGAGCCAGAAGGATTGGTAGTACTCGCTCAGTAAACTCCCCAGACAGGACGGCCATGCCTGAAGAAACAATAAGGTGCAAACAGAGAAATTACTGTGAATTATCACCTGCACATCGGAAATTCCCCCATGGGCACAGAAAGTCAAATCATGCTTCCATAACTATCCCAGAGTTCCCTGCTTGACATGCAAATGAGCAGACAAGCCATGGTTACAAACACAGCTTTTTATTTAAAACCAAAACAGTTTCTGGTCCAATATGGTCAGTGACCAGACACCGGCTGTGGATTGCACAGTTATGACCTGGTGTGTCTCATCAGCATGGAGCTGGTTAAATAGACTGGAGACAAGATCTGCAGATGGCCAGTAAGGAGACCACAGACTCCCTCACTCAGCTGGAACAAAATGGCACTCTTTTCCACAGTTTAATTACATAAAAGTAAAAATGACAAGAATTACAAATTGTATCTCATTGGATTCGTACCAAATGGTAAAAATGTAGCAAACCTTCACAAACTGCTTTGGATGCTATAGACAATGGCCCGCAGTATGAGGGGATACCTCATTTGTGTTCACACCAGTGCTGTGTAAAGCGTGTAAGGAATATATAAAGGAATCTAACATGTCCGCAGCCTCTCGCAACGGTGGAAATAATGGCTTCCTGGTATCTGGTAAGCACTCTTTTTTTCCCCCAGCTTTTTTAGAAACACAGGGATTTTCATTAAGTAATTAAAAGAGAAATTCAATTTGGCTTTAAAACCCGAAATCCACTGAACTGACAATTCCCATGTTACTCAATATCCCTGAATGGGTTTAAATGATCCACACATTAAAACGCGGCAGCTATTCACATTAGTAGTGAGGAATGGCTTGCCATATTGTCCTGTTGGCCCAGTTTCCTGGTAATGTGACAAATTGTTTTGCAGCGGTTTGCCCTCTTCCGGCCCTGGTCTCCTTTAAGGCTGCCTGTTATTCATTGACTGAGAGTGTCAGCTGTCTGCAATGATTGCAGTTCTTTGCACAGAATTGACATTAGCGAAACGCTAAACATACAGCCTGCAGGCACCATAGCCACTGTGAATCACTGCTTGGAGTAACCTTTTAACAAAATTATAGTCAAGCAAGCCAACGCTTTGTGAAAAATCAAGCAGTAAGCCGCGTCTGAGGATATGGGTCTCTATGCTGAACATGCCTGGATGGGCCTTTCTGCTGATTAGCCTCTCCCTGCAAGCACTTTATTAAAGGTTAAAGGGAGGCCTTTAAGCTTCTAGATGAAAGGGTGCTGTTTTAGTGTGTATCCTGGGAAGCCTCTGAAACACAGCTTACATTGTATAACCGGAACAATGTGGACACACTTTGCCTGCTATTACTGGGCCATCTTCTCTATCATTATGGACAGTGAGGGAGAGATTATACCTAGAAAACTTGGACACGGGTCCCATAGTCAATAATACAAATGTACGGGTCAACGTCCAGATAAGATAAATCAGTTTACCTGATAAAATATTCTGGATTCTATAAATAAAACTAAATTGGAAAAGGAGAGGAAAAAATAAAATAAAAATAGAATTATAGAGAAATCAGTATTGTGGAATTCTTTTTACAGTTTGAAGGAATCTGAATGTTCTCATGATCTGCCGCCTCCTCCAACATACACTCTGTATGTCTGAATTAATTCTCCCTGGTGCTGTACTTGCTCCCCATATCTTAGTTTTTATTTTAATTCCCATGTCCCCACTTTAGGAAGCATCATCGCAGGTAACATATGAAATGGTCAATTAATATCCACTATCCGGACACCTTGTGTCTCACCTGTCCCATTCTACTCTATACTGTAAGCACCAGACACACTGCATGAAACATTCTAGAACATCTAATAATATAACAAGCTCAATCCTGCTCATTGAATACCGATTACTCTGTAAGTAACATGCACACTGAGTGTCCCTCAAACACTGCTTCTGGGAACTGTTCCTGTCAATTGCTCTACAACCGGATAACCATGGAAACCAATGGCATGTTCCTGTCAATTGCTCTACAACCAGATAACCATGGAAACCAATGGAATGTTCCTGTCAATTGCTCTACAACCGGATAACCATGGAGACCAATGGAATGTACCTGTCAATTGCTTTACAACCGGATAACCATGGAAACCAATGGAATGTACCTGTCAATTGCTCTACAACCGGATAACCATGGAAACCAGTGGAATGTACCTGTCAATTGCTCTACAACTGGATAACCATGGAAACCAATGGAATGTTCCTGTCAATTGCTCTACAACCGGATAACCATGGAAACCAATGGAATGTTCCTGTCAATTGCTCTACAACCGGATAACCATGGAAACCAATGGAATGTTCCTGCTGATTTCTCTACAGCTGAAACAATCACCATGGAAACCAATAGAATGTTCACGCTCATTGCTCAACTTTGCCCCAATTATGTATTATTACAGCACATTGTAGTGGTTATGGTGCTTAGTGTCCCTTTAAGCATAACACCCATTTAATTAAGCTTTACATTTGTAATTTTAGTAACCATACTAAAAGGTGACTAAATACACGTGACAAACCTTACTTTACCTTGAATTGCTGACAGGTAGACAAACGGATCCTCCTCTTCTAGATTATCCAGGAACAGCTGTAAAACAGGATGGTGTTACAACGCAGGCAGACAAGGGAGAAGCTCACATTTGGGAGATAAGCAAGGATCTCTTCAGTCACCTTTAGGGCCTGTTCCTTGTGCTCCAGAGCTTCTCTGTGCCTTTGCTCCAGCAGACGTGTCAGGAAGCGGAGAGCAGCTGCACGAGTAGGAACATCAGAATGGCGTGCACTGCTCATTATCTCCTGGAAGTCTCCATGATTGAGCCTCTGGTCATCACTTGGTTCTCCCATTCCCGTTTTCTTGTTCTGTACATCCTGAGCCGCCGTCACTTGGTGGCCGCTGGTCCTGGGTGGCAGCTGTACTGCACAATGCGTGGCGATGCTGATTCGGAGATCACTGGCCAGCTCCTGGATAACGGGCTCTGGGTGAGTGAGGGATACTTGCTCCAGCAATGGAAGTAATCTTTTCAGATGCTTGAAATCAGGTGATGTCAGCTGGGGAGTTTGTAAAATAGGAGGTTATTAGAATGGAGCAACAGCTGCATTATAATGCATTTCATTCATGTGTAAAAACTGGCTTCAAACAATGGCATATTTTATAGCCACTGCTACAGATACAGGAATTTGGATTACTACAGGAAGCTGTGCAAGCTGTTCTCCCACCACTCAGAGAGACTCCCTGCACCAGAATTACTTAGTCTCTGCAGCCTTTATTATCGAGATAAATACCTCCCCCCCACCAAGTCTGTATATAGGTCCACCTATTCAAACTAGCAATCAACCACCTGTGATAATCTCTTCCTGGCTGGAAATACTAGTTTTGTGCATTTTTTGCATGTGGTGTCAGCACACACAGTTGGTCACTCCACGTCTGGATTTCCCTTTAAACTTAAAGGGACACTATAGTCACCAGAACAACTACAGCTTAATGTACGGTATACAGCTTAATGTAGTTCTTCTGGTAAGTATAATCATTGGCTTCAGGCTTTTTTATGCAAACACTGCCTTTTCAGAGGTGTTGCTAGGAAAGAAGGAGGAAGGGGAAAAGAAGGGCAGAGTCAATACATACAATTGCAAGCGGCAGATAAAGGGTTAACAGTGGGCGGTGGGAGTAGAGAAAGGAATCTCTAAGTAGGAACCTAGTGTGCCTTCAAGGGCACCCCTTAAAAAAAAAAAATCTCCTAGTCAATTGTAATATTCCAAACATTCCAATCTCAGACCGATATGGCTTGGTGCTGCCATAAGATTAATTTACACAACGCTGAATCTTGTATTAGTAGGAAATACACAGTCTCTGATTACTGGAGCCACTCTATGACATTATGTCTCAATTTAATATCTTTGGATAAAATCTATTTTTTTCAAACTATTAAACAATTTGAAAAGCTTATTCAAAAATATTAAAAGGAGGCCTATATTCCCAATGATACACACTTCACCATTATGGATTATATATTAGAAGTAGAGGAGATACTGAGACACACACATATAGGTCGTGGTTTGTTAACCTTTGACACGGCTTCCTTCCCATAATTCTGTGGAGACTCAGACACTGACAGCAAGCAGACTACGGCACTGGAAGGATTCCAAGTGTTTCCCAACACATTCCAAGGAAGCCACACCATTGCCATGAGTAAGCGATCACTCTGACTAACTGGATGGCAGATACACCCAGATTTTACTGGATATTTATATCTTCTTAACATGAAATCCTGCTGAATTGCAATATGTTTGTGGGGTTAAATAATTCTAAGACAAATCCCAGCATAAATGTTATAAGGTTCTGTAATTCTCTGGTGAAAATACCCTGCTGGGATTTATTCAGGAAATACACCAAAACAGCCACTTGGTGAATTTTGTACAAAATTGCTATTTTGATCTAAATTATGGAATGCCCTTCTTAACTGTCCACAGTTCCCTGAATGTTAAAGGGACACTACAAGCACCAAAACAACTTAAGCTTAGTGAAGTGGTTTTGGTGTATGGATCATGCCCCTGCAGTCTCACTGTTCAATTCTCTGCCGTTCAGGATTAAAATCACTTTGTTTATGCAGCCCTAGTCACACCTCCCCTGGTTGATACTCAGACTTCTTAAACACTTCCTGAAAAAAAGCCAAAAGAATTGAGCATCCCTCATTAAGTTTAGCCTGTAGCAGCCTCTTGAGTGTAAATAAAGTACAATTAACAAAGCAGGAGATAACGAAGTTAGACTCACTGCGAGGTCAAAAATCTTTTGATTTACGGAGTTCAGCAATGCCCCACTTGCACATGTGCCAGATTGTTGGAGGACTTGATTGTTAAATTGGGAGACATGCCATATCATTGCTTCCATAGAAACAGCCCCCAGTTTATTTTATTTAGTGCAGACTTCATCTCAAGCATGACATCAGCATTTAACACTGTATTAAAAATAGATTTCACACTCACCTTAACTGCCCCTCCCAACATGGCTGCCACGAGTCCCATGGCCATACTGAGTGTCTGTGACACCACTGTGCCACCTTCCGAAAGAGCAAGGCTCGTGCATGCTCGCTCCAGTGTGACGGCTACAAATTCCACCACCTACACACAGACAATGATCAGTCAGACACAATAATACATGGGTTGGTATTTTATACAATACTCGCAATCTCTCACTCACCTGCTGCACGTCGGTGAAAATGGAGTCTGAAGTCCTCTCGCACAGCACAGACAGTACTTGAAGAAGCTGGAGACGTCTCTCCTGAGACTGTGAACGCAAGGACAGCTTCTGCTCCAGGGCTAAGAGACTGTCACCGCAATCCGGGTCTTCATCGACCTCCTCGGCAATGAGTGGGGTCAGCTTCTACAGAAAGACAGGGTAGAGCCAATACTACAAACCTTGCCGAACCGCTCTATATCTCAGAGCTACATTCCAGACAGAAAACCAGACACAAATCATAGATATTGTAAATGAATCAACCTGTCAAAGGGCAAATCACTCCAGAAATGTGATCCTCACAAAATACTGAGTTTATTAAATTACACCAAGAGATTAACCTTATTACTATCCATTCACAACACACCTACGTTTTAATGGAGTCTTAGAACAAGACGATCACTTTAGGAGTGGTGGACGTATCACTTGGTGTCTATGAAAACAGTTACTGTCCACATGACATTTATCATTATAGCTTTAGAATTTCTTACTCTCTCATGGTTTAGTGAGATAAGAAATATTATTGTGGATTCGAGTCTAACCAGCACTGCTTCCTGTATATTAATAGACACTATCACCTCTGGATTTTTAATAATCATATCCCTAAAAAAATACCAAAACATGTGTTGTGTTAGAACTAAAAGAGAAGACAGCAGATGATTTTTTTATGGACCGGATTATGGCTAGAGGTGTGACGTTTAATTGGCCTTAACTTGCTGTACTCCTTGCAATGGCCAATGGGATAAGTATATCATTCAACGTGTGTGAAAGGATTTATGCAGGATCATGTGACCATGTGAAAATCAGACAAACAACGAGTAACTGTCTTCAAAGAATCCCCATTATTTACACTCACTGAGGGGCTAACGTGGCTGCCTTGTAGTATTAAACTATTTAAATATTTATTTATTCCATAAAAACAAAAAACTACTAATATTGTTTCTGTTACTGGACAGGCCTGATACACTGATCTTAAAAAGGACACTATAGTAAACAGACCCACTAAAGCCTAATATATATAGCCTGTCCCTGCAGGTCGAGGAGAGTAAACGTTGCCTTTTCAGAATTAGAAACAGTATTTACACGACTCCCTAACACCCCCCTCTATTGGTTGTCCCTCTGACTTCCTGGGTTTGGTCCTGCAAAGACTGCATTAATTAATGCAAAGAAAACAGTGACTTCTGTCCAGATAATAAAATCATTAGTAAGCAATTTATTCCCCTCGTGTGAGCAATTTCCATCAGTTGAGTGATCTGGCAAAGTTAAACAAATATAGGGCGCAGTTACAGTTACTGCATCTTCTCCTGTATTATAATCTGTCTAGCTATACAGAACTAAGCAGGGCCATGTAGGACTGTGCTTATTGACGTCAGCTGTGCAGGGCTGTATCTGCAGTAACAGCCAGCTTCAACTGCTGAAGAAGACACAATGTATCGCGGGGGACATAGGTAAGTTGACAAACTGTATTATAAACGGTTTGATTACTTACCGTAGAAAGAAGAGATTGCACTCAGTGGGCTGAAGTGGTGATTGTGCTCAGAGTTTTATTTTAATAGATTTAAAAGTTAGTAGGTTACTTGTCCAAACAACTGGAAACATTTTTTGGTGATTCCAAACAAAATCAACCAATTGGAGTAGGGGATGGGGATTGATATAAAGTAGTCAGGCTGACAACTGCAAGTGATAAGTAATCACAAACACAGCAACATGGATTACCTTTAGACAAAATAAGAAGAAATCAGCAGCCAAACCCCCACCGGAACCAACTGAGATTAACTCCACGAGACAGAGCAACTTCCACTGCTCCCAGGACAACTTCTCATACAGCACATCGTCTTCATCATCCCTGGGGGAGACACAGCACACGGTACATCAACACGCAAGCAATACCGGTCAGCAGTGCGCACCGCGGCCCGGCTCCGAGCACCGGAGAGTAATACTGTATAAAGGTTACGGGACAATCCGAGCTGTCTGTGTGCCACAGTCTGAGCCACTTCCTAGTCTCGACAGAACGGACTGCAAATGCTATAAATCCCACAAATGCAGGTTCTTCAAAAAGGTGTGTATTTTAACAAAATAACCTAATTTATGAAAATATGGGTAATTTTTGGTTGCGTTTTCCTAACTTGTGAAAAATAAAGCAAACTAGATTACCAAGTTTCTTCTAGGTTCTGTGTTATGCAAGCACCACCACCTAGTGGCAGAACCTAGCCATGCAAGCAGCACCACATAGTGCAGCAGAACTCTAGCCATGCAAGCAGCACCACATAGTGGCAGAACCCAGTTACGTAAGCAGCACCACCTAGTGGTAGAACCTAGCCATGCAAGTAGTAACTACCTAGTGGCAGAACCCAGCTTATGCAAGTAGCACTCCACATAGTGGCAGAACCTAGCTACGCAAGTAGCACCAATATAGTGGCAGAACCTAGCCATGCAAGCAGCACCACATAGTGGCAGAACCTAGCCATGCAAGCAGCACCACATAGTGGCAGAACCTAGCCATGCAAGCACAGTGAAACAATAAAATTTTGCAATTTTTTGGACTATGTAATAAATATTTTATTTCATATATTTTTTTTTAACAAAGTCATACACATAAAAAAGGGAATTCCGACGGTTTAAAAATGTATGTGTTATATATATATATATTTTACAAAATTACACACACACACAGACAAAATAGCATCAGGTCACGGGACAGGCAGGTAACATAGCACTTGAATTCAGCCAATGGCTGCTTACCTTTTCTCCTGTATTGTGATGGTTGCTCCACCATGACTGCCTGGTTTGATCTGGCAGTAAGAGGGCAGGGAGGGCACGGACTGATCTATGCCAGCCAATCCTGACAAGGCAGCAACTGCAGTTTCCCTCTCAGACTTCTCCAAAAACCACAGAACAATATCCTGACATGGGGATCTGCAAGATTCAATTTGTGAATGGCCAAGTACAAACACAGCGTGCTTTGATGGGTGGAGAAGGGATGGGAAAAACTACATTCCTAGTGCAGTGAAGGTAGTGGAGATCAGAAGGCTGGTAATGCATCAAGAGAGTTATATTGTAACAGCTGAGTTGTCCCTTTTAACCTTCCCTGCTCTAGTACCATCCCATAAATCTCTAAATTTAGCCATTATTAATGCACGACTGGGGTGATGGCATTCGCTGTACGAAAAGTGACTGGATGGCCTCCAACACTAGAAACACACAGCTTGCACCATTCTAAGGACAAGGGTTTTACTAGACCCTAATGAAGAGTTTGTAATGAACGGAAATGGACAGAAGATGTATTGGTGAACACAGACATGTCTTACAGCGTAGAAGGAGGAATAAAGTAAACCATCTAATGTGTTGGCAAGTTTCGGCATACAGGAACAGGGGTAGACCAGATCCTGACTCTGAGCACCATATTGCATGCAGCTTACACAGGTTACGGTGCAAGAAGGTCCCTGTCCCCCCTTCACATAGTGTATTAGCACTGCAGAGATAAGCTCATCACCTCACTAAGATGACACCAGAGGAAGATATTCTCACCTTAAGTGGGACACATTCTGTCGCGCAAAGCAATACAAGGCAAAAACTGCAGAAAGTACTCGTCTAGTGAAGTTCAACACGGTGGATGTGGGATCGTTCCCGACCACAAAAACCTGCAGAGCACAGCGTATGCCACCCGGAGAGAAAACAAGGGACACTCAGAGGAGTTTGACAGTGACAAGAATACACAAACACGGGACACTTAGTCACTAGATCAACTACAGCTTATTATATTTGTTCTGGTGAGTAGAATCACTCCCTTCAGGCTTTTTGCAGTAAACACGGTTTATTCAGAGAAAAATAAAAAAGCAGTGTTTACATTGCCCCCTAGGGAAAACTCCACTGGCCACTCCTCAGATGGCTGCTAGAGGTGCTTCCTGGGGCAGTGGTGCACAATGTGACTGACATTCAGTGCATGGAGACACTGAATTCTCCTCATAGAGATGCATTGATTCAATACATCTCTATGAGGAGATGCTGATTGGCCAGGGTGGCGTTTGGCTCTGCCCCCGGCCCACCTTCTTCGCAGAGATCATCAGAATTGACCATTTTAGCCAATGCACTGCTTTCCTATGGAAATCCCATTGTGATTGGCTCAGAGAATTCCTTCTGATGATGTCATCCAAGGAGGCAGATCAGATCCAGCACACTGGAATAAAGGTAAGATTTTACTATATTTAGGGGGGCAAGGTGAGGGTCGGGGGGCCAGATAGTGTTAACATAATGGGGCCAGGAAAACATTTTTGTGTTAGATTTAAAATATGTTTGTGTTCCTGACCCTATAGGGTCCCTTCAAATATTTCTACATACAAAGCACTACAAAATGTAAGCAACCATCCGTGCCAACCCAGATGTTGCAGGACTTTATTCTTTGCCAAACAAAACTATTTGTTGAAAAACGTTATAATATGATCTAATGTCAAAAACAAAGGACCAAATACTAATGAAAAATGTCAGGAAACTCATTAAGAGATTAAGCAACCAATGTAAAAAGATCATCTTCAGAAAGCTGGTATTTATTTTGTTACGTAATTTGGTGCATATTTTTTCTATATGTAAATATATAAAACATTAGAAGGTTATCAACTGCTGCTTGGAGTGTCTTTCTAAAGATGTACAATGCGACACCTAACGGTAAGAACGTAATCCTAAATAAAGCATTTTATTTAAAGAGAAACTCACTTTAACAATGTCCTCCACACACTGCGAAAGCTGCTTTTCTGATACCAGGGTCTCTCCTGGGTGAGGAAGGGTCTCTAAAATAAACAAAAATTCACAGGTAAAACACGAGTTGCCTGGAAAGTAACTCAAAGCCTATAGGAGTGCTGGAAGCCCACCTGATGGTGTCTGGAAGCAGCGCAGGAGGGGTTCCAGCATAGGCAAGAAGAGGTGCTTCTGTGCCAGCTGAGGATTCTCCTGCGCCATTCTCAGGAACGTTTCCGTGGCAACTCTCTGAAACTGACGCACTGTTAGAGTGTTCTGGATATGCAGCAAATCAAGAATCTGTAGAAAATAAAAGTATTTAATCTTTTTGATCTTTTACAAACTCTGTAGTTCCAGATTGATTCCAGACAGAATTGGAAATCCCCACCCTAGCTGTTCACATCGCCTTCCAGGGATTTAGATGTAAAAATCCACACACAGACTTGTGGTTCCCATCTTAGCTCCCTGTCAGTCATTGTTCTTCCTAGCATTGAATAGAACTAATAGAGAGAGCGAAACAATGCTTCTGTTTTCCTTATTTGCAATACGTGATCTGATTGTGTCAGAATTAATCTAGATTGTGAAGATACAGTTTATAAGTTCCATTACTTAGCATGATTTCCAGAAGGCTGTGAGCACGGCGATATGAACAGTACTACTCTCTGGGTACATCACCTGCGGGCAGATACTCCGATAATATTCTTCCAGAGAGAGGGACTGCTGGGGGCACGATGCCAGGATTCTAGCCACCGCATCACATTTCTTCCAGTTGCTTGCTGCAGCTTCTGCGTCACGTCCTCCAGCTGCTCCATCTGCAATGAAACGCATATAAAGAGAGCTAAAAGTACCATAACCACTGGTTCACAGGGTAAATAGTAAACAAATAAAAAAAATGGCAATTAAATCAGAATTCAGATGTGATTGGGAGATTAACACACTACTTGACACTTGCCTCCAGCTCCTTCCAGGATTCCTCGGACTACAGCCTGTACTCCGTGAGGCTTCATTAGCCGCTCAGAGAGTAGCTGCCCTGAGAGACGACGTAACCAAGGAGGGGCTGGAACCCGCTGGGTTTTAGATGCAATCCCTGGGGGGCATGTGCCCTGAAAGAAAAGAGGTGGTTGGTGGTTACAGTAGGGGTCACAAAGGAAATAACAAATCAAATGAAAAGGTAAAATAGCCAAAAGAAGAAGTCCACATCACAGTCCCTTCCTTACAACGGTGAGAATTCTCTACCTGTTTAGGGCCACCTTGCAAGAGGAGAAGCTGCCGGATAACAAGTGGCTGGTACACCTGATCCAACAGACTGCGCAGTGCCTCCTTACACTGAACTCTCTCATTCTCAGTCAGATCCTAGCAATGAAAAGTGAGAATTAGCTTTCAGAGCTTGCAATCTAAGGTTATGGATATTTCATACAAGAGAATTTGATCAATAAAAATTCATACCATTGGATTGTATCACTGAATCAGGTATAATCAGAGAGAAAAAAAAACTATTCAGATATTTTTGCATTTCCACAATTCACAGTTAGTGGAATACCCTCACTGGTGGGCAGGCACGCCAAGACATACCAAAATAAAACTAACAAAGTGTGAGGCACTCACTATCACTTAAAATGAGGTATGGCAGCAATTCACCCAACAATGATTCCCACAAACTTGTAAAAAGAAACGTACTCAATAAGAAATAGGTGGTAAACAGCACAGTCCAAAACTATTTCTTATTGTGTACACTCAGATATACCCCCAAATTTCAAAGAGACAAATAGGAACTCTTTCATTTTACGGTGTGGCCGGGGGGCTGTTCAGAGAAATGTGACTTACTGATAATATATCCAACTAAAACGTAATTTAGAAGAACAACAATGTATCTGATTTACATAGACTGATTTCTAAAACACATTTATTGAAGTTAAAGGAACACTAGAGTGGCAGTAATACAAATGTGTATTCCTGACACTATGGGTCTTAATAGAGGTTTAGTTCCCTAGCCCCTCTGACCTCCTGTTAAAAAGGTGATTTACTCAACTTTTTTCCGTGACATGCGGGATCCAGTCGTGGCTGGCCCCACCTATGCTCCTCCCCTTGACTGAGATCATCAAACTTGGGAGGTTATCGGGCTTGCTTGGCAAAACACAGCTCTGTGCCAATCATCTCCTCATAGAGATGCACTGACTCTATGGGAAGTTCAACGCCTCCATGCAGATTGTGGAGACACTGCAAAAATGTACAGCACTGACCCAGAAAGCACCTCTAGTGGTTGTCTGAGTGACTGTCACTGGAGGTGTCCCTATTGAAAAATGTAAACACTGCTTTTTCTCTGAAGCTGTGGAGCTCTGTTATACACTCAGACACATTACTGGGAGTATTATTGCTGTGGAGTCCTGTTATACACTCAGACACATTACTGGGAGTATTATTGCTGTGGAGCTCTGTTATACGCTCAGACACGTTACTGGGAGTATTATTGCTGTGGAGCTCTGTTGTACATTAAAGGACCACTCTAGGCACCCAGACCACTTCAGCTTAATGAAGTGGTCTGGGTGCCAGGTCCAGCTAGGGTAACCCATTTTTAAATAAACATAGCAGTTTCAGAGAAACTGCTATGTTTATTAATGGGTTAATCCTTCCCCCTAATCCTCTAGTGGCTGTCTCATTGACAGCCACTAGAGGCGCCTGCGTGCTTCTCACTGTGATTTTCACAGTGAGAGCACGCCAGCGTCCATAGGAAAGCATTATGAATGCTTCCCTATGTGACCGCCTGAATGCGCACGCAGCTCTTGCCACGCGTGCGCATTCAGCTGACAGGGCGGAACGGAGGAGGAGAGCTCTCCGCCCAGCGCTGGAAAAAGGTAAGTTTAAACCCCTTTCCCCTTTCCAGAGCCGGGCGGGAGGGGGACCCTGAGGGTGGGGGCACCCTCAGGGCACTATAGTGCCAGGAAAACTAGTATGTTTTCCTGGCACTATAGTGGTCCTTTAAGACACATTACTGGGAGTATTATTACTGTGGAGCTCTGTTACTGGGAGTATTATTACTGTGGAGCTCTGTTATACACTCAGACACAGTACTGGGAGTATTATTGCTGTGGAGCTCTGTTATACACTCAGACCCATTACTGGGAGTATTATTGCTGTGGAGCTCTGTTATACGCTCAGACACGTTACTGGGAGTATTATTGCTGTGGAGCTCTGTTGTACATTAAGACACATTACTGGGAGTATTATTACTGTGGAGCTCTGTTAATGGGAGTATTATTACTGTGGGGCTGTGTTATACACTCAGACACATTACTGGGAGTATTATTGCTGTGGAGCTCTGTTATACACAGACACATTACTGGGAATATTATTGCTGTGGAGCTCTGTTATACACAGACACATTACTGGGAGTATTATTACTGTGGAACTCTGTGATACACTCAGTCACATTACTGGGAGTATTATTACTGTGGAGCTCTGTTATACACTCAGACACATTACTGGGAGTATTATTGCTGTGGAGCTCTGTTATACACTCAGACACATTACTGGGAGTATTATTGCTGTGGAGCTCTGTTATACACAGACACATTACTGGGAGTATTATTGCTGTGACGCTCTGTTATACACTCAGACACATTACTGGGAGTATTATTGCTGGGGAGCTCTGTTATACACTCAGACACATTACTGGGAGTATTATTGCTGTGGAGCTCTGTTATACACTCAGACACATTACTGGGAGTATTATTGCTGTGGAGCTCGTTATACACTCAGACACATTACTGGGAGTATTATTGCTGTGGGGCCTGTTATACCCTCAGACACATTACTGGGAGTATTATTGCTGTGGAGCTCTGTTATACACTCAGACACATTACTGGGAGTATTATTGCTGTGGAGCTCTGTTATACACTGAGACACATTACTGGGAGTAATATTGCTGTGGAGCTCTGTTATACACTCAGACACATTACTGGGAGTATTATTGCTGTGGAGCTCTGTTATACACTCAGACACATTACTGGGAGTATTATTGCTGTGGAGCTCTGTTATACACTCAGACACATTACTGGGAGTATTATTGCTGTGGGGCTCTGTTATACACTCAGACACATTACTGGGAGTATTATTGCTGTGGAGCTCTGTTATACACTCAGACACATTACTGGGAGTATTATTGCTGTGGAGCTCTGTTATACACTCAGACACATTACTGGGAGTATTATTGCTGTGGAGCTCCTGTTATACACTCAAACACATTACTGGGAGTATTATTGCTGTGGAGCTCTGTTATACACTCAGACACATTACTGGGAGTATTATTGCTGTGGAGCTCTGTTATACACTCAGTCACATTACTGGGAGTATTATTGCTGTGGAGCTCTGTTATACTCTCAGACACATTACTGGGAGTGTTATTGCTGGGGAGCTCTGTTATACACTCAGACACATTACTGGGAGTATTATTGCTGTGGAGCCCTGTTATACACTCAGTCACATTACTGGGAGTATTATTGCTGTGGAGCTCTGTTATACACTCAGTCACATTACTGGGAGTATTATAGCTGTGGAGTTTTGTTGTACACTCAGACACACCAACAACATGGAGCTCCTAGAAAAGAGGGTAATAGGAGAAAAAAGAGGGACGGATGGATTTGTCCCTAAACAGGGACACTTTTGAGGTATATGCTAAGCTTCACAGAGGGACCTACAGAGCTCTCCGCTTTGGAAGTCCTATCATGCTCAATGTATGAATGCAGACAGCATGACACCCAAATAGTAACACCAGCAAGCAGTCATTTTTTTTTATACACATTTCATTTAGGAATAATGTTATTTTTAAAAAAAAAAAATTATATTTTGAATTAGCTATTACTGAAATACAATTCCCACCTAGTAAGCAGGACAGGGATTGTGAGTGAGGTAGTGTAAACATGAATTGTGCATGCTGGGTTTTGAGATGCGCTCTACCTTTGGGTTAGCAGTAGTTTTGTTCTCCGCTTTTGCTTTAATTGGGCAAAATCCCAGTTGGCACAGCCCAGCCATGAGGTCCCCAAGGTGGTTGGTAAGCAGAAGGCTCCCCAGAGACGGGTGGCGGGATACCTCCAGAAGTGCTGTACAGGAGATGTACAGCCTACGAGTGCGGATTGAAGGCAGGTCACTTGCCACCATTCTCTGTACAAGGGCTCCAAACTCTGAGCGCTGCTGGAGGGGTAAACCTATACCAGGCATTAGGTAAGGGCAAATTCCCATACACACCACAAACTGGAAAGCAGACTGGACGGTTTTCTGCTGAGAGACACTAAGTGTATCTGGACTCAAAGCAGGGGCAGCCTCGGGTGTGCGGGGATTTGGTTTGGGAGCGTTGAACGAAGCAGCAAGCTCGATCATGCATTCCTTCAGACAGAGGAATAGCAGCAGGGTCTCTGAAGTGAATCTCCAGTGTGGCTCTGCAGGGCTATCAAAGCATCCTTCGAGACACTTGGTCTCAGCTTGAACCCTCGCCCGCAGGGTCCCCAGTGCCTTCCACTCCAGGGCATTTAATAGTCTCTCTTCCAGTGAGGATACATTGAGATCTAACGAGTTAAGCAATGCAGTCTTCCTGTCCGTATCAGGAGATTCATTCTCTGCAATGAGATAACAGAACAATCAAGTCATCAGAACAGGAAATACATATATACTCACACTGTGTATGGTCCTTACAGGTTGGGTAAGTTACAGTTAGTATTAGAGTAATGACATTAGAATTTCTGTACAGCAACACCAATTCCTGAATACAGCCTGTCTGCCTGAAGCAGGTCTTTACATACCATAACAACCATACCATGACAACCATACCATAACAACCACTCTACATACCATGACAACCATACCATAACAACCGCTCTACATACCATAACAACCGCTCTACATACCATGACAACCATACCATAACAACCGCTCTACATACCATAACCGCTGCAACAGGAGCAGAGTGCAAACCTACACGGGAAGGGTCAGCAGCACTAATTCTAATCTCATTAATCTAATAATAACTAATTTAACGTGAAAGTCTCTATTCTCCTGAGCAGTTTACAGGTGGGAGTATAATTAAAGAGAAATTACCATCTTTCAGCTGATAATATGATTTTATTCATCAGATATAAAATCCTGCACAATATTCTTTCCATGAATGGATGAACACGTGTCCATTGACTGTCAGATATTTACATTGTATGCCAGGCGATGCCTTGATGGCCTTTGACATATAATGTGTTTACATGCTGCACATCCACATCAAACATGTATAAATCACTATATTAACCAATAATAGAATTGCCACTCGCAGATTAAATGCTGAATGTCAGAAATACTCACCTTTTGGAGTTATTAATATTTTCAGGGCTGCCACAACTGTCTCGAGTTTTACACACTCCGCCATTCTTCTACACCCAATGTCGCAGGATTTCTATGTCACTGAGTAGCCGCCATCATACTTGTGGCGCCGAAAGAGCGGCCATATTGAGTGTGGTACAAATAGCGCATACATTTGGAGAGTAGAGGTCAGAGAGCGGCCATGTTGGGTGTGGCGCACAGAGAGCGGCCATGTTAGGTGTGGCGCATAGAGAGCGGCCATGTTGGGTGTGGCGCACAGAAAGCGGCCGTGTTGGGTGTGGCGCACAGAGAGCGGCCATGTTGTGTGTGGCGCACAGAGAGCAGCCATGTTGGGTGTGGCGCTCAGAGGGCGGCCATTTTGGGTGTGGCGCACAGAGGGCAGCCATGTTGGGTGTGGCGCTCAGAGGGCGACCATGTTGGGTGTGGCGCACAGAGAGCAGCCATGTAGGGTGTGGCGTTCAGAGGGCGACCATGTTGGGTGTGGCGCACAGAGGGCAGCCATGTTGGGTGTGGCGCACAGAAAGCGGCCATGTTGCGTGTGGCGCACAGAGAGCGGCCATGTTGTGTGTGGCGCACAGAGAGCAGCCATGTTGGGTGTGGCGCAAAGAGAGCGGCCATGTTGTGTGTGGCGCACAGAGAGCAGCCATGTTGGGTGTGGCGCTCAGAGGGCGGCCATGTTGGGTGTGGCGCACAGAGGGCGGCCATGTTGGGTGTGGCGCTCAGAGGGCGACCATGTTGGGTGTGGCGCACAGAGAGCAGCCATGTAGGGTGTGGCGTTCAGAGGGCGACCATGTTGGGTGTGGCGCACAGAGGGCAGCCATGTTGGGTGTGGCGCACAGAGGGCGGCCATGTTGGGTGTGGCGCTCAGAGGGCGACCATGTTGGGTGTGGCACTCAGAGGGCGACCATGTAGGGTGTGGCGCTCAGAGGGCAGCCATGTTGGGTGTGGCGCTCAGAGGGCGACCATGTAGGGTGTGGCCCTCAGAGGGCAGCCATGTTGGGTGTGGCGCTCAGAGGGCGACCATGTAGGGTGACAGGCAGTGATAGGAATATGGGAGATTTTTTCTTTTTCCTTATTATCACTTTGTGAGGAGAAATGCGGGAAATGAATGATGAAGTAGTAAGAGACCCATTATAACTGGCTGCGATGAAACACCTTAATACGCACAGTGTGTGAGTGTATCAGACTCCGCAGCAATAAAACTGGTTTAAAGGAATGCTGGGTACCATCACCACTTCATTGTTCAATAAGTTGTTCATGGCGACGCTGATAAGCCGAGAGTATTAACTGACGCACCCACATTACATTCTGGGAGGGGAACGGGAGTATTTAATCATAAACAAATTAATTCCAATGACGTTATGGTGCCCGTAGTATCGCTAAAGGGACACTCAGAGTACCCTCTCCAGTAGAACCCTCCTGCAGTGGTTATAGTTATGACCCTGGTGCCCTCCCAGAGAAAGGAGATCGCCACGAACTGTTCGCCGCGGACTCATCATTGAGTAAACTTTGACCCTGTACCTCACAGTCAGCAGACACATTCCAGCCAATCAGCAGCAGACCCTCCCACCTCCTGGAGGTACAGGGTCAAAGTTTACTCAATGATGAGTCCGCGGCGAACCGTTCGGCGAACCATTCGGAACATCACTAATCATTTTGAGAGATGCTGAAACTACTTGGCCAATATGCCACCCTGTGAGGGTACAAACTGAATAGAACAAAGTCAGAACTCATGCCAATCACATTTGATAAATCCTTGGCGCAAACCATACACTCTTTCCCATAGCGAACTAGACGACCTCTGTAATCTTAATTACACTCCACTAATACATACAGCTCACACAGAATTACGTTGGACCTCCTTGGGTGTTTCTTGGCTGGAACGAGTGGCCAAGGTCAAAATGAACTTACTTTGCAGATTCCTCTCTCTCTTCCAAACACTTCAGATTCCCATTAAAGCCTCTAACCAGCTCTCATTCGAATTAATTGGTCATCCGGATCCCCGCTTGCAGTAGTTTAGTGTGAAATAGCTCACGTAGTTTGTTGAGAAAAACAGCAACCTAAGGAACAAAAGTAAAAACTCTGTGGTAGCTCTAGACCTGTAAGGTGTATTGGAAGGCCACTTTATGTGGGTAGTAGTCCCAATAATGACTTTAGGTCGTGGCCGCAGCATAGTCTCCCATAGCAGCCTGTCGAGGGGTGAAAGGTTGGAGTCTCCCCGGTTCCATCAGTGCGGCCACCAGGCTACCATCCCAGATCCAGCTGGTATCAGAGCCTGGTGGCAGGTTTAGGGTGGCCAACAGGGCTGTCGCCTGCGAAATATTGTGGATCAGATGCTTGGTTTCACCTTGCAGAGCCATTAGGGCGCAGGTTAGCAGCCAACGGTATGGTATCTTGTGCAGTCTTAGAATGGATGTGAACGGCAGTAATGACCTTCGCTAAGCTAGGGTACACCCTGAAATGTCAGAACATTAGTGACCTGTCTTCAAACTTGTGAGGTGTGTACTCTCTGACGACCATCAGCACTGCAGCCTGATCTTTTCTGCTCTGAAATTGGATAATTATGCTATGCCCATAGGGTTTTTAGGCACTTAATAGAATCCATTGAGTCCCACTGTTTTTCCTAGTCTTGGGGTAAGATGATCTAATAAGCGGCTCAGGAGATTTGGAAGTACAGCGGTCAGTATTTCTTCTGAAACACCCCTTTTTAAAAAATTGTTTCTGCACCTCTGATGGCTGAAAAGTCATCATGATCATTCATCATGCTTTGTTGCTGGAGACCCTTGACGGTCTTCTGTAGAAAATGCTTAGTTTCTGGATTCAGTTTCCACTCCAGATAATGAGCCCAACAGGCCCTGCAGGTTAGTATGGAGCAGTGCGACATGCATCTGGATACTTTTCTGGAGGTCCGCCAGGAGTGCTTAGAGCACCGCAGTAGTCACTAGAGCTGTATCTGGTCCAGTAGGCTTCAGTACAGGGTGTGGTGTAACTGGGGGATCATCTACCTCCTCCGGAGAGGACAGTTCATTTGAGAATTTCAGAGTAGGCCTCAGTATAAGTGGACATTTTGGGTTTTGCCTGCCACAGTAAGTCCCCAATATTTAAGCCCATCCATGGCTTTTCAGGTTTCAGTTTTTTCGTTTTGCACCCCATAAATGCTTCCCTTTGCTTGTGGGGGCTCCCCAGGCCATTTGGGTCACTGTTTTAGTGTCCACAGAGAGGTATATTAATATCAGATGCTCAGAGCTCTTGATGAATACGACCATTCAGCTCGCTTGCTTGGCTGTGCCCCCTGGGCAGCCTGCTTTCACCACTTCTCTTTGTGTCTCACTTCATGCCTGGCTTAGCATGGCTGTCAGTACCCTAGTAAAATTCAAACTGGCATATAGTTTGTTATAAATACGTTCTTTACCCTCACACCTTTGCCTTATCCTTACAAGAACATTGCTGGAAACATAACGCCACACTCCATGTATGATGGACGTAACCTCTATCGGAATTACATCGCCAACACAGGCAAACTCTTGCCATAACATGGTTTACGCTTATCCCATTCCCCAATCCCCAATCCCACAGTTCCTGACCCTGTACAGACAACGCTCGAACCAGAATGCACCGATTCTTCCATTCATGTCTCCGATCATACACATGTAGACCTCCTTGTGGAGTACACATTGACTTTTGCTTACACATTGCACATGGTGTATAGGGAAGATCACTTGTAAAGCCAGAGCTAATGAAACCTATACAAGCATCCCAGACACCATACTCCTATTAACCATCTTGTGTAGATTTCATTGTTTTGTATAATAGACTCTTCGCAGTCCAATCCTCAAATCATTCTACCACTCTGTTGATACTCTGGAAAGTACCTGTATACAAAAGCGAAGAGGCACAATCTTTTTGAAAGCTCCTACACTTGCATCATACGGTCAATGTACTGAACGTTTTATTATGTTCTTTACGTCATTAAAAACATGAATACATAAAGAACAAGGTTTTTATACATCCCTAGTCACACCTCCCTGCATGTGACCTACACAGTCTTCCTAAGCACTTCCTGTAAAGAGATCCAATGTTTACACTTCCTTTATGGTGCAATCTGTTTAAATTATTTTCTCTTATCTCCTGCTCTTTTAATAGCCTTCTAGAAACTGCAGGGGCCTCCTGTGTGATTAAAGTTCGATTTACAGAGCAGGAAATAAAAACTTCTAAAGCAAGTTAATATCTGATTGAAAATAAAACCATTTTTTCATACAAGCTGTGTGAGTCACAACCTGGGAGGGGAGGGGGGGGTGGTAAGGACTGCCTAAACAGAAACATGATTTAACTCTAAAATTGCAGAGAAATTAATCGTGAGACGGCAGGAGCATGATCTGTACACAGAAACGGCTTCATTAAAGGACCACTCTAGGCACCCAGACCACTTCAGCTTAATGAAATGGTCTGGGTGCCAGGTCCTTCTAGGGTTAACCCATTTTTTTTAATAAACATAGCAGTTTCAGAGAAACTGCTATGTTTGTGAATGGGTTAAGCCTTCCCCTATTTCGTCTAGTGGCTGTCTCATTGACAGCCACTAGAGGCGCTTGCGTGCTTCTCACTGTGATTTTCACAGTGAGAGCACGCCAGCGTCCATAGGAAAGCATTGTAAATGCTTTCATATGCGACGGGCTGAATGCGCGCGCAGTTCTTGCCGCGCGTGCGCATTCAGCCCAGGAGGAGGAACGGAGGAGTAGAGAAGGAGGAGAGCTCCCCGACCAGCGCTGGAAAAAGGTAAGTTTTTAACCCTTTCCCCCTTCCAGAGCCGGGCGGGAGGGGGTCCCTGAGGGTGGCGGCACTATAGTGCCAGGAAAACGAGTATGTTTTCCTGGCACTATAGTGGTCCTTTAAGGTTATGTTGTATAGTATTCCTTATATGCAATGCCTGGAATGTTCTAGATAATATATACTAAGAATAAGCATTGTTAAAGCACAGATACAAGATCATTTTAGTGGCCCAATCCCTCCAGAGCTTAATATGTGAAATAAAAGAATTTAATCTGAACAATAAACAGCTATTCTCACAAAAATAAACAAGTCATGAAAATTAATAAAATCAAACCCAAATCAATTCCATGTTCTATAAATCTTTTTATTTTTATATCAAAAAGTATACATGTAAAAAGAATGCAGACACTTATTAATCCCTGCCGAGTTTACAATTTCATTTTGTCTATTGAGTTGTAGGATATTTAACTATACAGCGGTGGGGACATCTGCTTAAATGCAGTAAAAATACGATTCTTTCAACACTGCTATTTACACTGTGTCTGAAGCCTTTTCTGGAATCACAGATCAATGTAGGCATGAATACGGATTATTGAAGATTATCCTGTAAATAATCCTGCAGTGGAGATTAAAACCCACAAGAATCACGACAACCTGATCCTTAAAGAACCTACGCTGTAATGAAACCGCTTACTTATTTACTATCAAAATACCTTCACAGAGAATGACTGTTTATGCGATTGGGCTTCATTTTAGGCTTTTAAGAACATGACAGATTTCTGAATGAAACATTATTGGTGCTTTATGGGTTAAACTGCACTGTAGGATTATGTAGCAAATTATTCAGAGTTTTTTTTTCTAAACTCTGAAATTCCGCATGCTAAATTCTAATGGCAAAACGAAGGCTAAAACAGCTAGTTTGAAGAAAACAAATCTTCAAATTGAGCTACACTCCCAGATTGACTGCTATAGCCTACATTTTGCAATTCTGATTTAATTCTCTGAAATTTGAAGCTTACTGAATAACGCTGCTTGTATCAAGAATGATACTTCACGTCTTCACTATATCACTGTGCAATATTTCCAGAGCTGACACTATTTTTACAAATATATATATATATATATTTAGGATTATTGGCTATTAGAAATAAAAAATAAAAATTAGACCGAAATTTGTTGGCGCCCATGATGATAAATATATACATACACCTAGTGGCTATAGTGTTGGCATTTGTGATTAAGTGTCCTCAGCACAAGTACATATACCACCATCCTGAGCGGAAATTTGCAAACCAGTTCGGCAAATAGCTTTAAAGTAAGAAGGGATACAAAACAAAATAATGTAAAATGATGCTATCGCGTTCCATTTTTAGCGATGTGAAGGTTCTAGCTTGTGTCGTAATTTTAAAAACCAAATAAAAAGTTTTAGACCATCTGATTGGCTGCGGACATGCTCAGAAATTGACGCCAGTTATTTGCCGCCGTCCGAGTTCGGCCAATAAAACGATGAGGGTTTGTTTTGCAGTCGCAGTGCAGGAAGTCAGTAGTTTGTAGGGTTGGAGTACAGTGTGCCTCAATCCTCGTCACCCCCATACATGTCAGCCAGCTTGTTGAAGCGCGGGCCCCAGTTGCTCAGGCCGCTGTAGTCCTGGTCTCCGTCTGAGTTGGAGGAATTCAGGGAGCTGAGCGATGCAGCATCCGAGCCGCTGCCTTCATAGTCAAACACCAGCAGGGAGTCATAGGGTGGAGCGGTGGGGTCATTATCTGCTGCATGGAGGTTCTGGATAGGAAGAAATAGCAGCTTAGTCTCGCTATAAAACCTGCATTACTACCAGGAGGAACACAATCTGGGTCTAGATATTTGTTAAGTATTTGAATTTGTTTGTACATTATAATGTCAACTTTAAGAATTATTTGTGCCACTATGCGACTGCTTTCTACCAGAGTGTTTTGATGGTGTGATGGTCTGTGGTGCAAGTTGTGCACAAGTGTGAATATAGAAACATAGAACATAGAAACATAGAATGTGACGGCAGATAAGAACCATTCGGCCCATCTAGTCTGCCCAATTTTCTAAATACTTTCATTAGTCCCTGGTCTTATCTTATAGTTAGGATAGTCTTATGCCTATCCCACGCATGCTTAAACTCCTTTACTGTGTTAACCTCTACCACTTCAGCTGGAAGGCTATTCCATGCATCCACTACCCTCTCAGTAAAGTAATTCTTCCTGATATTATTTTTAAACCTTTGTCCCTCTATGACATTTTGTTTTCAGGGGACACTATAGTCACCCAGACCATCTTAATGGGGTGCCAGGTGTATTCCTTTTAAGATGTATAGACATATTTACTAGGATTAGGAGGAATTCTGGAAGTAGTATGTGTGCAATTCTTTTTTCCCTATATTGTAGTAAGGTTTATGGTTTGATAGATGAACCTCTTATTGTACTAAGAGGTATAAGTGAACTTGGTGGGCTATGGATGCGATGTTCGTTCACAATGCCTACTAAGAATATGCAAGTTTTGGGTTTTTTTTTTTGTGTATGCTGCTTGACTCCTCTGCCATTGTAAGACTATGAGACTACAGTCCCCATAACCCTCTCCTCTTTTAAAGGGATTCTGACCCCAAAATGTTTGATTTTTTTTAATTTTAATTTTTTTATACAAATTGGATGCATTTCAAGCCAGCACAAACCTCTTCAATGAAATTGCCAATCTCGTCTGGGTTGCTCGGCCGAGGGCGGTACTGTGGAGCGGGTAGGAGAGTGGGGGCCACATCATTGCGGATGACATCTGGACGAGCATCAAGACCTCTGTGCAGCTGGCTCAGGTCAAAATCCTTAAAAAAAACAAAAAAAACAAAACAGTCAGAGAGGTCAGATTTGTAAATCCTCTTTTGTATTGTTTATTATAGCCATTACTTAGACCGCTTCTTCTTTACCTGATCTTCCTCACCACCTCCTTCTTCATCATAATAATACACATTATCCCGAGTTTCGTCTTCGGGGGGCAGTAAAGGTTCTTTGACCACTTTCTTGCGCCTCACAAAGAGCAGCAGGAGCAACAACAGTACTACAAGAAACAAAATCAGGGAACAAAAAGGTTTTAGGTCTTCAATATATAGTGCTTTGATGACCATGACTTGTATGGAAGCTGTGTGAGTGAAATAACATTTTAATTATTCTTAATATATCTTAAACTCAAATTTATCTTGGCAAGGAGGTCATGGGTACATGGATTTTATTGCAGTATATCTTGTGATCAGTCAGTGGTGGAAGCCATACTGGAGCGGAGCTGAATATGTACACACATCACCTTTTCAATAACCCCGAGATCTTACCAGGACCATATCCATGTCAGTCCAGCTGGTACTGGAGGAAATTGGGAAAATTTCAATTATCTTTAGCCAAATGAAGGGAGAACTGACCAACATGTGGAAAGATTCCCCAGTTTAAAATGGCAGTGTTAAATGGAGATTACAATAAGCGGTTTCCCTAGATAACGTTCCACATGTATGTAACAGAATGCAATGTTACTTACTCAAAAGAGCGAGAATGCCTCCGAGGATACCGATAATAGCAGGGACTCCCAAACCTCCGGCAAGCGCAGCTCTCTCCTCACAGGTCCCTGTTTCCCCAATGCATTTGCAGACCATGATTCTTATCCTGCTAGTGTTTGTCAGACCTTGATTGTCTTTCAGGTTTACCGACACGTCATAGGTTTCAAAGTCCAGGTCTTTCAGTGGCTTTATATGCAGTTCTACAAAATGGAGGCAAGAAGAATTATGAGAATGGAGTAAAAGTAGGGGTTGTGCTCTAACTCTAGGACAGCGATGTTTGTTATAAGAGGGACATCTTGGGTGGCCTTCATCCTCTGTCATGGATGTCACGGGGTTGCAGTACACAACATGATTTCCTATTGAGGGGAAAATTGTACCTCTAAGGTTGAGAGCTTAAAATCAATGGTACCCTTAGTATGTCTATTATCTCAACAGACCACTGCTGATCATTATTGTACGCCAAGTGGTCATAATTTGGTATATTGTGGGATGCCATTTTGGGCACAGAGCAGAGAATCCTGCAGTCTGTCAAGGCCGGGTGTCGAGAAACACACCTAAAAAAAACAAGCATACAGTGTTTTCCACGGTTTTAGGTATCAACTAAAGTCCATTCTCGTATTTTGGTAAAGAGGTTGTCTATGTCATAGTGTTGTAAGTTGGGTAAATTCAAACCACTCCTTTCTCTCAGTCTTGCTAAGTCAGTCATACTAAGTTGTGGTCTCTTGCTCATCCAGACAAATTTATTGCAAGAGGAGTTAAAAATCTCGGAAGAATGGGTTAGTAATATGGATGGCGAGGGGCGTCATGTATAAACTCCTAGGGAGAACGTTCATTTTTAAAATGTTGATCTTGCCTGTCCAGGAAACTGTAGGTTTATTCCATTTAACAAGGTCTGATTGAATGGCTGTTAAAATCGAGTAAAAGTTGATAGTGAATAAGTCAGATAGGTAGGGGTCATTCGAATGCCTAAATAATTAAAGGTAGTTTGTCCATTTTATAAACTCCTTAAAGGGAATAGTATTATTTTTATTTTTTACAATAAGTCAGGCAGGAAAAACCACTACTACAACAGAAGCCAATTTGTAAATTACTTACGATCATTAACTACCGTGGCAGTCCAGTTTTCCCGTGCCTCTCGTGGAAGCTCCACTGAGAAGGGGCCAGTGTTTGGTGCCAGATCTCGATCAATGATGGGAATCATCAGTGGATTTGTATCCTGTTGGCAATATGCCAACTGTGTTATTTCCAAAAATGGACCGTTGTCATTGACATCAAGAAGGGTAAGCAGAAGGGTCCCAGTACCAGTAGCTGATGGAATCCCTGATGACAAAAGTCAGAATATAATCAGAATAGCCAGGATCAGTTTTACCACCAAGCACTTTAAAAAAAAAAAAAAAAACACGAGCAAAACATTTAGTTGAAACAGATACATGTCCAACACGTAAACATACAATAGAACAGTAGTTTTATGTACTTTTCAGATACGTTTTAAAATTATGTAAATTTATAAACTTTTTATTTAGTCGTTCATTCTTAATAGTAATCTTTGGGGAAGGAGTATCCTTAGACAGTATAAAGTATTCTTTATCTTGCACTATTTCACATAAGGTCGGAAATATTAGTAGAATAGCAAAAATACTTCTCTCCCATTACAGCAGGTGTGACAAAAATAATGTCTCTGCATTTGAGCATAATTCCCACACAGTTGAACCTTAAATTTCTAAAATAAAGGCATTTAAAGTCGCAACAGCAATCTTGAACACTCTCTGGAATGCAATTGCAATCAGTGAAGTGGTAGAGCTCATTCAGTCCTCCACTAACTGTAGGAATGATATCACCCATTGAAACTTCCCTTACAGTTTGAAAGAAGAGGGCAAGCTGACATTTTCATGCATTAAATGAGTGAACAGGGGCCTCTGGCAGAGAAATGTATCCCGCTATAGGTTGGTAACCATTCCTAGATTATAAAACAGGATAAGTTATTTTTTTTATTATTATTTATTTTTGTTGTGCACGCATTAACATGCTTGGATAGCCACGACAGCTATTACAAGCTCATTAGCAATAAAGTATAACAGCATGGCATATTTAGTAACTGCACAATTTTTTAAAATTGGTAAACAATTTGCAGAATATAACAACGTAGAATGTTAATGTGTGAAAAGAGTAGTTTCCGAACCGGTCGTATGATTAGTTTTGGCTTGAGTGCTTGTTATCTAGAGTGAGCGTGTAAGTGGAGGCATGGTGTGCGCTTGTGTGTCGCGGTCTAGTGGGGACTGTGCCCTCTAGGGGAGTAGGTCGCTATGCCTTTGTTGCGGAAGTACAGGGAAACCCAATTTACAGGCCATGTGGGTGTCTATAAGGCAATTTAGAAAGAAGGGGCTAATGCATAGCCTAGGCTGCCGTAGGCAATTCTAGTTAACGGAGGGTACTGACGTAACCTGGTGTGGTATTTGAACAGCTCCTTGTTAATAACCGCATGTGAGGTAGACTGAGTGGAGCTGTGGGGGAAGTAGGTAGTGAAAGAAGCCAGCGTGTCCGGGTGGCCGCCGTATAGCGGTCCTGCTTCATGCATGCAGGAAACTCTGGATGATAAGTGAGTCGTTATGGACTATATTTCATTCAGCAATGTATGTAAAAGTATAAAACGTTTATACTCTATTCTGGAAGCAAAGGTGTTTGAGAACAAATGGAGCACAATAACAAGAGGCTCCTACCAATGTGTTTTTGTATATTTACAATACAAACTATCCATCATGACGGTTTCTCATATTTTCTTGGCTGCATTTAATATGATCTGTACTCTTAGCAGCACAAAGCTGCACATGCTCTAATAAATCCCATTTGGGAATCAAGACAGGCCTTTGGTATTGTGCCATTTTGAATCGGCCTTCACACTCCCATCCAACCCCCAACTCTGGCAAGTGTTGAAGAAGGGTTTATTAAAATTTCCCTGAATTCTTACCGCTGTCAACTGCCAAGATGATGGCTTTGTAGACATTGTTCTGCACGTAGAAGGACTCTCGATCTAGTTGGCCATTTCCAGTGATAATGCCATTGTCCTTATTGACAGAAAGCCATCCAGCTGGGTCATTTCCAATGCTGTACCTGCAAAGAACAAATGTCACACACATGGTTAGCTGGCTCAGTATGTGGAATCCATTGGGGTCCCATGGCGTTACCCCATTTTACACTTCTTGACAGATTTACGGCCTGAACTCCAGTGACAGTGTTATGCTTCTTTGCGTTCTACAGGAAGCCCATCTAACATGAAAAATAATCTCAACAATTTCTGCCTCAAATTCATCTTTCATCAAGTTTGATTTCACTTTATGTGCAGTGTTTTAAGCTAATTTAACACTCCTATTATTAAAGGATAATTTAATTTCCATAATCTGCATGCAGAACACAAATGTATCTACTTACAGTATCTTCTGATTCTGCACCTTGTCGGGATCTGTAGCCGTGTACGATGCAACTTCCTGACCACTAGGCAAGTCCTCCGAAACACTGACTGAATAAACAGCGGGATTAAATATGGGGGCCTCATTCACATCCTGAACGTTTACGGTGACTAGGGCAGTGGAGGTTTGCAGAGGCACAGAAAAGTTTGCCTTATTCAACGCAACGATACTCAACTGGAACACATTCTTTGGACCTTCAAAGTCCAACCCCTGCAACAGGAAGGAGAGATTAACAAACCATATTTTATAGACACATTAGAAAATGCAAGCAAGAAAAAAAAATTATATATATATATATTTTTTTTTATTATTATTATTATTATTATTTTTTTTTTATTTATTTTTTTTTAAACCAAGCTGTTTTATTTTAACGTTTTGAACATAATTCACCCTTGGCCATCCTGACCACGATGCTGTAAAGCACGCCAAATAACCTAGTTTGAGGGTTATTGTGCTAGTATTTTGCTCCCTTAAAATATAGAGAATATATATATAAAAAGGACAATGCAGCTCGCGGTTTACGGCTCAATATAAAAAGGTCAGCAATTCTCTTATTCAAAGTTTCATGTCAAATCAAACGAGTTGAAGCCAAAAATATGTACATGCAGTGTGTATATATTGCACGGAATGACTTTAAAGAATATAAAGGTTTTCCCGTTGTTTCTAGTCTGTATTCTCTTCAAGCGGTGTTTCCATCTGCCCGATATCCAGTGCCATTTATTTAAATCTGGAGGTTGTGATTTACGCAGACTGACATTTGACAATCTAACCGTTATTTGAACTGTTTGTGGAATAATCAAACATGGTGAGTTCCCACTGACCAATAATACATATTACAATACATAGACTATTTAAATACAGTTTATAGTCTTTATGGGTGGGGGACACTAAAGGCATCATAACCACTTCATAATGACCGTTGGCAAACTGACAAAATATGGTTTTAATGTGGAAGTGTTGAGCATTCCATTATTTTACATGCAACAAAATTCAGTTCCCTGTATTACTTTATTTAAATTTTGATTTGGTGAAAAAAAAAAACCTACCTTTACTGTGGTCACGAGTCCATTATTGTCAGCAACAGTCTCCACTTTGAAGAAGCCTCCCTCATTTCCCTTTATGATCTTATATACAGCAATCCACGCGTCTGAACCATACGTATCGGCGTCTGTAACCGTTAAACGTGTCACTTCGTAACCAACTTCATTTTCAGGGACATTTACAACGTACTAGATAGAAGAAAAAAAAACAATACATCAGACTCCATGACAAACCGATGCGTTGGAGCTTACCGATTGTTAGAATACAATCGTGCTTTTATTGTTAGAGAGGGGTCCAGTTTGCCAACACGGCATTGGCGTAATCTTTCTGGGTTTTACTCGACCCTTTTCCAGGTTGGTCCACCTAATGCAGTGTCTCTAGTGATACACAGTGTCACTCATCCAGCATTCATACATCCAACTGTTGGAAGATGCATGGGAGCAAGTTCCACCACTGCCAGGGATCTCCTAACTTTAAAGTAAAAGTTACATTAAGCAAGGGATTTATTCCCCTCTTACCGTAGTGGGGTCAAATATCGGAGCATTGTCATTGGTATCCGTCACGGTGATCACAGCTTTGCCAGTCGCAGAGAGTCCTTTACCTTCTTGATCTGTAGCCTGTATGGTCAGTGTGTATTCTGCATTGTTCTGTAAAAAAGATGTGGAAAATCATGGTTATGTGGCTTTATTGTCCACCAGAAAAGTGCAGCTGGCATTCATACTACTGCATGTTATACGTTAATTTATTGAACTGACCAGAAGTTTGGGTATTCTCCACATTAAATACCAGGACTAAACCAAACCAATTTAAATGCAGCAAGAACCCGCTATCTGTGGTGTGCCAGGACATGGCAGAAAGACAGGCAGTCAGAAGGAGACAGTGTTATCGGAAACTGCAAAAAGTTTTCAATAAAGGACTTTACAAACCTCTCGGTCTAAGCCGGTTGAAATCACGGTGATCTGGCCAGTTTGTTCATTGACTGTGAACATTGGGTCGCTGGGTTCTTTGGGATCCTGGCCAATGATAGAATAGGAAACAATCCCATTGTTGGTGTCTATGCCATCATCATCATCTGTGGCGGTTACGAACATTACAGGAGTACCTTAAAATAAACAGGCAAAGTCAGCCACATTTGTTTAACTGTTCTAGTGTAACTCCGTATAATATTTAAGGAATGAGCAGTTGGGTTTAAATGAAACCTTGTTACTGTGGCGAAAGTGACCTCACCACTGGTTTTTGGAGGGGCCTGATTGCCAGCCTCTTGCCTTGTGACTATGGCCCTTGGGAGATTTTGCCCTTTACAACGTTATTTGGCCATACTGGATTTTTATTTCACGGCTTCTGGCCCTTTAAAAATACTATGGGGAAGGATTGGTACTTTTTATATGGCACTTCGGATGTAGCCGAAGTGGACGCCATTCGAAAAAAAAAAAAAAAAAAAAACACATGGCAGCGGCCATTTTAATTTAGCCTAACGCGGTCAGCGGTGTTTTGCCATCGAGTTCATGAACTGAAATCGGCTACTGGACAGCACGAACACCGCTGAAGTTTTACCTTTCCTAGAACTAACTCATTCGACAATTCGAACGGCTGCCGTTCACCTATTTGAACGATAGTTAACATGGGAAATAGACCGGCTGCACAGCCTGATTCTCTGGAACAGTTTTGGGCATGAAAATGTGCGTGCAGTCGGTAAAAAGAGACTTCCAGCTAACTCCTGAACGGATTTGAATGGAATTTGGATACGTTTGTTCCCTAGTTATGCGGTTTCAAAAAATTTAAGTTTTATTAATATTGGATGTATAATTTTAAAGTAATTAAAAATGTGTAAAAATTATATTTTCCTGCCTGTGGTAATTACGTTAGCCCGTTGTGTTCAGTAATTATATCACAGGCAGAGGGGAGGATTCTGCTGTAATGAATGGGAGTGTGACTGTATTGAACGTTGTTGATTGGCTGTTCCACAAGGCCCACGTGGGTGGTAACCTTGTGGAGAAATGTGTTTATAAGAGCAATAAAGCCTTAGTGCATTGTGTTCCTGTTTACACTCCAAAACTGTGTTGTCCTGTTATTGGAGGGAAGAAGATTTACTCCTGTGTCTGCTGTTCCAGCTTGCAGGAGATTTAACGGGGAAAGTCCTTGTAAGGACTAGAGCCAATTCCCCCTTCGGCTCCAGGAAGGAGGTTTCAGGGTCCCAGTCCAACTACGGTGACTGTGGGCATAAGTGATGCGGTTTGTCCCCTGTTCCAGCTAGGAAGCGGTCCTTTGGCGGAGGTAACCAGCCGAGGTACAGGGAGTTCCGCTACAGTTACCATCTACACAGCATGTTCCTTTACTATGCTATCAGTTAGAATACCACATCAGAAATAAGTTTAATTGCAGCAAAAATTAATTATATGAAACGTACCTGGCCTCGACCCCTCAGGGACGCTGCCTGTAAAGACCGGCTCTGTGAATTTAGGCTTGTTATCATTCTGATCCAAAATTTTGATGATAACCTCCATTGGGTCCTCTAGAGGTTGTCCATTGGATGACACTGCGTGCACAAACAGCTAAAAAGACCATCACAACAATTAGAAATCTTGAATTCTGCCTTATCACAGTAATGATTTGAAGTTTGACTATTATAATAATGTACTTACAGTAAACATAGGGATGTCTTCTCTGTCCAAGGGTTTAGTCACATTGAGCCAGCCAGTTGCTCGTTCCACAACAAACAACCCCACAGGTGGAGTATCAGCCCCCGGGCCGGTTATGCTGTAGAAAACTTTCACTTCCTTGTCTCGACTGGATTTAATCTAAGGAAAAGTCAGGGAGCATAAAAGGATTAGAACAAAACATGAATTCTATACAAAGACACGGAGAGATCGTATAGATTCGGGCTAGCCTGTTATTATGAAGAAAATAACATCTAAGTCTCCTATATTTTCTTTGTCACATGCAGAAGATTAGTTAAAGGGACACTATAGTCACCTGAACAACTTTAGCTTAATGAAGCAGTTTTGGTGTAAAGAACATGCCCCTGCATCCTCACTGCTCAATCCTCTGCCATTTAGGAGTTAAATCCCTTTGTTTATGAACCGTAGTCACACCTCCCTGCATGTGACTTGCACAGCCTTCCATAAACACTTCCTGTAAAGAGAGCCCTATTTAGGCTTTCTTTATTGCAAGTTCTGTTTAATTAAGATTTTCTTATCCCCTGCTATGTTAATAGCTTGCTAGACCCTGCAAGAGCTTCCTGTATGTGATTAAAGTTCAATTTCAATTATTTAAGGTAAATTACATCTGTTTGAAAGTGAAACCAGTTTTTTTTTCATGCAGGCTCTGTCAATCATAGCCAGGGGAGGTGTGACTAGGGCTGCATAAACAGAAACAAAGTGATTTAACTCAAATGACAGTGAATTGAGCAGTGAAGTTGCAGGGTAATGATCTATACACTAAAACTGCTTTATTTAGCTAAAGTAATTTAGGTGACTATAGTGTTCCTTTAACTGGTTCAAATGAGTGAGAACTCTAATGGTTATACCAATTCAGAATTATCTTCGGTGGATCATGTCTTATAAGTTACAGGCTGAAATAAACAGTTTGGATTTTAATTTATAGTGATTCACAGAATCTGACAGCAAGTAATTATTTACCCACAAATACAATTTACTCAGTTTGGTCCACAAATAACTTGTCATACCTGCACCATCCTTTTGGGAAAGGGGCCTCTCTCATTTTCTGATATGGTGATTGGGGGGATAACCCAGTCCCTCTTCTGTCTTTTCAATTTCAGGTCATCGTTGGATAAATTCTGATTTGCAAAAAAGGATAATCATTATTAAACTAAAAAGAAGTCAAAATGTATTAATATGCGTGAAGAAATTCAACCTGTAGTTTCCATATTTTGTGCATCAATATTCATCAAAATACCATACTAAGTCGAGTACATTTACGTCACACAGAAACAAAGACCGCGGATAGAGCACTTTGCCGTCATTTTTGGGTTCGTTCTCAAAGGTATGAACTCTATGGGTCAAAGGGTGCAATATTGGAATGACAAGATTAATTCAGGGACTATACCATTTCAGGTCTGTTTCAGGTTAATTTCCTTTGGATTCCTATGATCTAAGTAATGGGTGGTATCTGAAACCTAGCAACTATTAATGCCTGACCCAGCAACATAGTCACATTAAAGCAGAAGGTGGAACGGCAATTGGCGTTCCGCCTAAATGTATTTTTTTTTTAAATGGCAGTGGGCAGCGAGGGAGCAGTGATACATACACATACAAACACAGATATACACACACTGGCACATACAAACACAGATTATACACACCGGCACATACAAACACATACACACAGATACATACACACATTGTCAGTGTATCTGTGTGTCAGATACACACCCCAACACAAACAAACACACACACACAAAAAAGGCACATTTTTTTTCTGGGGGGGAGGGAGGGTTTTCTACAATGTTGATACACTATGTCAAAGAGTTCTGCAGGAAAAACTAATTGGGAACCTCTGCCTTAAAGAGAAGGACCCAACACGGGTTGAAGGTAAAATATGGCAGCCCTGTAGGCCGGGGTCACATGGCTTTCCTAGGTCATTACCTGCAGCTGAGCTTCTAATCATGGCTTCCTGCTCCCACCATCAGATACAGGACACATAAGTTAGTATGTTAGGATAATATCAATCTATATCTCGAGGGAAGTGTCCCTTTAAATGACGACTGAGCGGTTGGTTTCAACCATCCTAAACCCCAGAACTCACCTCTTTGTGCAAATTATGTCGCCTTTCCAGGTTTATAAAAGTAGACTTTTCTTCATCTTTGTTTTGGCCATAAATAGCAACAACTTTGAATTTTTTCGTGGGTTGGTGAAGTTTTATAGAATTCTTTACGACAAGGTCTCCATTTTCCAAAACTTCAAAATGTGGGTCTTCAGAGTGGAAAGTAACTGGAGAGGGTCCACAATGATCGAAGGACACTGAAGACAAGAAAACAAGGTTTAAATGTTTATCTGAATATAAAAACTATGTAACCGCTTGCCCTGCTACCTCAAATATTAACTTTGTGCTCAGAGCGGTTTAAAAAAAGTATGCATTACACCCCTCCCCCCCAACCAGGAAGTAATAAGGACAATTGTCTGCTTGAAATCCAGTGGGTGTGTAACCAGAATAATTTATAAAAAAAGTGTCAATTTCTATTGAAATCTGAACTTTTGTAAAATGAAAAAATAAAAATAAAAAATGAAACTTTTTTCACACATAAAGCACTTTAGGTGTGTGGATCCAGCTGTAAAGTAGGTTACCGCGTGCTAATAGTATGGATATAACGTATGTGTAGATTTAGCAGGAAAGGCAGCATGATAGAGGAGGATTAGAAAAAAAAAAAATAAATAAAACCTAGCTCCGCCGCCAGTTCAATAAAGTCTGAATGGTCAGGAATCCAAATTGAAATTTGTCTCCAAAATACCCAAACTGAAAGCAAAGTGGACTCCAAGAATCTTTCTGCCTAATTTAGCCTCAAGCTTTGTAATCCCAGCAATTACTCACTTTAGAGCATAACCTCTCATCTGACGTCAGAAAGTCAATATACAGAAACGCTACAATCGCACCAGTTCTTAAAAATGGACTTCAAGTCCAAAACACATACAATTTCCGTACAGTTTGTCTTATACACCTGACTGCTCTTAGACACATACTTAAACGGATACTATCAACACCACAGTTAGAGTGCTAGAAGGCCCCTCGCATGGTCCCCCTGTTCTGTGTCAAATCTTTAGAGAAAACGGAGGGGGGCATCCTTTCATTGTATTGCTAAGACGAAGGGCCCTCTTCCACAGTAAAGGGAATTCCAAATGAACACTGGTTTTGGTTAGAGTACCACTTGCTCTGCTGGCCTGCCTCCCAAAAGATTTCCATAAAAAAATTAAAAAAAATAAACACACACAACTTCATACCCACCAATCTAGCGCAGAGGCCAAGTTCTTCCTGCAAATTGTGCCCTTGCCAGAGAGTGGGCTGTGGGGGCTGGCATGCCACCTTTTGAGGTCTGGTGCCAGCATGCTGTCTGTGCCTGCTGGTGTCTAACTCCAAATTTGCACAGAATTCACATTAACCAAGCGGAACACTAATGGCGCCCCAATGGCACGGCTTGAGGTGGAGTCACACGTCCAGCAGCAAAGGGGTTAAACGCTATGTAACAATGCACATACACTCAGTTTTGGCTAAATTTGGATGGCACCGATTGGCTAACGTGTCCACTGTCACAACTCAACAGGGCTGTAGTGGTTATGGTGCTTAGAGTGCCCCTTGCAGTCTTTAATACAAAGATTTGGATGCAGGAAAAACAGTCTAATTTGAACTCAGTAGTGTGTCATTTTAACAATCATGATTGTACTATTTATGTCCTGCAAATTAGTAGGAAACAATCACTAATTATTAGAAATAATTGCCAATAATGTGTAGCGTTAAGGACGGGTGGTGCGTGGCATTCTTGCCTTTTCCACAAGACCAGTACTTCCCTAGCATAAGAAATGGGCAGGGCACAATACAAAGCCCTCATTTTATTAATGTGACAACGCTATAAAAAGGTAACTTGAAAATGTTTGTTGGTTTATATTCAATTTTGTTTTAGGAAGGGGATTAAATGTAGCAAAGTTTGGGTCCAATATAAAATCACAAGTAATACCACTTTAAACCAACAGATGGCACTGTAACAAAACCATCTACAATCCTGTCCCTTGCACGCTCAGTGGGCTGCTTACAGAAATCGCCCTTCGCTTGTGCAGTTCAGTTTAAGTTACAGGAGACATAGGCTTAATTAGCGTCTCTACATATAATGGGGAAACAACTCCCATACAGATACTGAAACCTTTTCATAAATAGCTTGGTTTTCAAACTTTTTGAAGAGAACTAATAGGAGTGGCCCCTCCTGAGAAACAAGCCATGACTTGAATCCCCTACACAACATGTCCACCAATACATTATAGAGATAGGATTACTCAGTGGGGTTTGGATACAGATATACCATTAAAGTACATCAAGACTGCGCTTAAAAAATAAATAAAACTAAATTAAAAAAAATCTGAGAAAATAAAATTAGAACCATTGGATAAAATGCTCGAATTAGAGTAACCTGCAGAAAAAAAAAAATCAGAGATTCTCAGCTTTTTTTGCGCCTCGGACAGAATATCTATGTATTTACACACACAGACCCTCCTTCCCTTATTTTAATCTCTGAATAATGGGCCGTGGAAAGTCTGAAATTGGGCTGCCATTAATGCGGGATATTGTTTGCAACACTCCGTATGAAGGAGGCCCCCATGACAGTAGAACAAGATCAGCCTCTGACTGCGCGGGCGATAGACGTAAAGTGCCCATAATCCACTACACGAGAGGGATTACCAAAGGTGACTGCCTAAGTGACTGCCGCCTGTTCCATTCATTTATATTTAATATGGTAATTTAAACAAATAAAATTTTTAATAAACAGACACTCCTCAAACTGTGGCCTCCTGCAGAGGAATAAGTCACATTCAGCAGTCCACTTATAAATGTCAGGTAACGAGCGACTAAGACCACTTAACCTGGCCTCCCAAGGTGCCCGACTACTTCAGGGAGGAGAGGTTGTTACCATGTATTGAGTGCTAGCCTCTCAGTCAAGTCACAGCGTTGCCTACGCATAATACAGAGAAAACATTAGCCAATCCTGCATCTGTGTCACAGGTAAAAAAAACAACTGGATTTTAAAACCACTCCAGCCGTTTAAAACCTGGCAATGCCTAAGCATACTACACAGACTACAATTTTAAATAGGACATTCTCGATCGATTTTAACAGACAGATATTCTGAAATAAGTCGTAGAATGTTTGACACCAATAATCCTGGTACACGGACAGCAGGCTTACACCCCAGTATAAGATATATCTTGGTTAGGGGACTCTAATCCCACACTGGATAATAGAGACAGGACGATCGGACCGCTCAGCTACTAAATCCAGCCACATCCATCAACACGTGGACCATGCCGACGTGGTGTCCAAACGTGTGACGCAGGAATTAGATCTCGCATGGAACGCAGGATGTATGACAGCACAACCACAAATTGTGATAGGGTGCCCAATGCCCATAACCTCCATTTACAAATTATGGAAGACGAGCCATAGATTCTTCACATACATATGGAAACTCAAGATAAATTAGAACATAATTGGGTATAAATGGTGGCACTAACTCCAGATTTACTCTAATAAGGTAGAAAGCAGCAAGGAGCCCCAAATCATCCACAGAGCAATTTATTTCTGCCCCCTCAAAACAACTCAAACATTCATTATCGGGCTGTGAACAGGACTCGCACTCACACATCCATTCCAGGTTCCAAGGTTCATTTACAAGCTTTTAACGAACAAACCAGATTGTGAAATCTAATGGACAGATTCAAATTCCACTTTCTGTTCTAAAACCACTCAAAAGGCTCAGTATCAGACAGCAGCAACCATTAATGAAGACAAACTAAGCACCATAACCACTGCAGCATATTGACGTGAATTACTTTTTTTTCCTCATGAAAACAAGATGTTTCACAAAAACTGAGCTCTGCCACCGTTCTGCTGCTGCCATTATCCACCTGAATTTCGAGGGCAGTAACAGGCAGTGAGCACTGGAGAATTCTTTGTTCTGTGCCTGCAGCAGTTCACTGTTCAGTTTTCGATGGATGTAAGAGAGTAATGGAAAGGTGGCATTACACCACCCCCCCGTTTTGATTGCAATGTGTGCAGAGATTGGATTTATCGCCCTGTTTTTGTCATACCCTTAAACTATGAGAAAAGCAGTCTGCACCCAAACATTGCACAAATACAACGATCACAAAATGTAGTAATGCAGACAGATGTAGTGTTTATGGTGCCTGGCGGCAGAAGTTTGACAGAGTAGGTATTTGCATTTCAGAGTTCTAAATCAGGCTGTAGGGAGCACACAGGATAACGACTGCATCTCCCAGTGACTAGCCATAACTAAACTACAGAGAAAGGTCCATCTCAAGTCCACCTACACTCAGTGTTTAGTGGATAGGCCTCTACTCAGCTGACAACACAGAGATATGAACACGCATATAGATGTACACAGCCATGCAGGGCTGATAATAGGCCGAAGGTCAGAGGAAGCTCTGCTTTAGTCATTGTAACCTTGGATAAGACAAATGGAGCCTACAAGGACAATTCTAGGAGCCTGACTTACAATACAGAAAATACAACAAAATGAGATATACATTATATATCCCACCACAATTCCATGCTCTAATATCACGTTGATGGCTTGGGAACTGGAAGACAACATTGGCTTCTTAGCTAAGTGTTGAACAAGTAGGAGTCCTATTTTGTCAGAGTTCTTACCTGGGTTTGCTATGGAAGTTGGGGAAAGAGCACATCCCATATCTACAAACATATCTAAAGTTGCGATTTATAGAACCGTTGTATTTTCATGGGGCCGCTAGGCATAAAGGCTGGTGTCTACCGCGTCTATAGATCCAGATTCTCCTCTTGCCCTGGTTTTAAAATTCTGGAACTTGTTTACAAGTCTCTACACAACACTGCTCCTATCAATCCTCAATAATACACAAATATGTCCCACCCAGACCCCTACACTCTGCCGCAGCCCTGCGCTTTACACATAGAAATAATAATATAATGGGGCTTATTCACCAAGCAGGAAATCGTGCAGAATTGACAGAAACTGGAACATTCATAACAAATTGCTAAAATGAAAACATAGGACAAATTTTGTCCTAAAATCCTAAATCCCTTTGTTAATTCTCCATGAATTCCAGGTTAGTGAATACACCTATATCATTAAAAAATATATATTTAGTGCCATCAATAGAAAGTGAGAGTGAAGATGTGATACTTTATCAATAATACATTTTCTCAATTAGATTAGATTCAGCTAGTTGAAAGTACATTTCCCAAAAATATATTTGTAAGTACGCCATCCTAGGATCAATATTCTGCTACTAGCGCACGTAAATAAATTATTATTATTATAGCATTTCCTTTAAGAACATTGAGTAAAGGTTTTAAAAGCTGTTCGGCAATCAAAATGCAAATTTAGAAAGCCAACATTGTGTCCTTGTGGGTTTTACTGCGTTGCGTAAATAGCTCTGTAGAAATGACACGCATGTTGCATGCTTTTTGGGGGAACAGCAGAAATGTAGAAAATATAAAATTACACCAAACAGGAAGAGCCAAGAGAAAGGCTGCACAGGATTTGTAGCGCTTACAAACTGTGTGGAGCGATCTTATTGGCAAGGTTGGATAAGCATTGTGGGGTTTAGAGTTCTATAAAAACTGGAGAGATTATAGCCACCTCTGATAGAGTTACTGTGTGTGGCAGTCTCTCTCCTCCCCCACACAAAGCTGAACAAACAGACTAGGAGAGAAACCGGTTTGTCCTCTCTGTGCAAACTGATAATGGATCACATTCCTTACCCAGACACACCCTATAACAGCTACAGGGACTGCCCAGGCACCCAATGCTAATTACAAGCACGCAACATGGGAAAGGGTGGGGGTGGGGGGGTAAACATGCCAACTGGCCCGAGTCTGGAAGAACAGTCTGAGTTTGCAAACTTCTAAACACACAATATATATATTGCACGCCGAGCATCAAAACGAACAAATCTTTCAGTGAATTTACCATTGAAACCTCACTGAGCACGCTGTCATAGCCGGTTTGCCAGGCACCAGAGATGAATATTATAAAGTGCAAAATATAGATTTTAATTGAAATAATACTGCATGTTCTTTTACTACACAAAGTGTTAAAACTCAGCCGGCATTTAATAGCAAGATGAGATACTATGGTTAAAATATAAAGGAGGAAGAGTAATATGTGCTTTTTGATGTAGTGAGTTCGGTTTTGGGGTTTCGGGGGCGGGGGAAAGGTAAGTTTTGGTAAACCTGCTCAGTCTGTTTCCGGATGTTAGTCTTGTCATGATTTGAATGTTTTATCAGGTCTCCGATCAGTTCAGGTGAAAGGCTGACATCACCGAGAACACAGCCTGTAACATGAGTCGTGTTGAATCACTGAGCGCAGGTGGGGGACGGGACAAAAAGAACCTTTTCCAGAAACTGCCTTTCACACTCCGAGCTGAAACTACAGAATCAAAACAGTCCGATAACCAGTTCTCTGCGGCACTTCATGCCAGTACATAAAGGGGGGAGAAGGCACAGAGGGAGAGTAAGAGTGTGAGTGTGTATGTATATATATTCACTTTTAATAAGAGGAGGACATCAGAAATACAAATGTTATATAGCGACATGGTGCAGCAGAGTTTTAAGATGCCCCATGTAAACAGGGGGATACTGTTTTTTTTTTTGAATGGATCAGTTTTTGCGTCCCAGAGTTCTCACATTTAAGCCAAAATCAGGTAATCGGGTCATGATGGGGCATCTGAGTGTAGGGCGGTAGGGAGGGAGAGGATGGGTAGAATATTTGGGATTAATGAAGGGGTACAGCATAGGGAGAGGGGTAACAGACTGATAAAGGTGGGTTTGTGTGAACGTGGAGGCATTTCTGGGGAACTAAGGTCAATATAGGAGACAGGAAATGAATTGAATGATAGTATTTACTATAAGGGAAGGTTGCAATGGTTACAACTGTATCCATTTTATAGCTATTACCCAGAATCCCGGCTGCACTGATTGGAGGGAGAGGCAGGACATTGTGGTTTTAAAACCATTGAGGTTAGTCGTGTCCTGATTTGAATGTTTTATGGACTATTGTGACTGGCTCAAGGAAAACAGGAAGAAAGGGACATTTAGAGGAAAAAAATAAAATAAAAAATACAAGTAGTTATGAACAAAATTAAGGTTCTATAGAATTAGCTTTGGGAAAACAACAGTTTAAATGTGTAGAATAAACATTATCTATCCCCATTCATCACCGCAGACTATTAGGTATTTTTACAATTTAGCCTCCGTGGTTTCCTATATATTAATTTTTTTGTGACGATTGACCAGAGCTGCTTCAGACCAACAGGTAGTTTAATAAAGTGCATTAGTCTGATCATTATGTGTTAGATCATGTGTGTTAGTAAATTCAGGTTGGGGGGTGAGAAAGCCAATCCCCTCCCACGCAAACCTCAATTTATTAAATATGTATAACCGGAGCCTGAGTCAGCGTCGTGCAAACAGACTCCAATCATCTGCTACGAGGGCTGTCACAATGGAACTCTATTGTTTGTATTGGGGAGGAGGTTAGGCTAGGCCCATAGGTGGAATAATTAAACAATTCCAGGGGTGGACTATTTTCCCAATATGTTCCAATCACACAAAAAAAAATGGTATCACTGGATAGACAAAAACTGCTATCACACTTAAATATTCCCTATTAGAGGATAAGCCGTAACTGAAAAAATCCAACGAACCACTGTCCCTAAATCATTGCCGACTCCTAAAGAGAAATGCAAAAATAAATATCCTAATAATTAAATATATATTATGTACACGTGCAGTGGATCTAACTATTTAGATATAAAATAAAGATTATAATAATTATATTATGTACACATGCAGTGGATCTAACTATTTAGATATAACAATAAATATGCATAGTTGTAACAATTATTTTTACATGCCAGACTGCCTCGAAGGTCTCCTGATATCCTGCCTCCCTTTAAGGGCCTGTGTTAGGAAAACCCCTAGTCTTATTGCCATTAAAATTCCCGTCAGCCAGGTTACTAAAACTAATAAATTTGACTGTTAGTAGGAGTCTCTCTAACAAGACTTTAGGTAGGATATTCCAATCTTACATAGCACTTTCAAATTTCTCATTGAACCATGGGATTCAACGTTCGACACCATTTACCAACTTTTATAAATGAGTTTGTCTGATTTTCTGAAATGCTTACACAGTGATGTTACTTTGCTAAGCAAGTTTGGAAAATAATCTCACAAAGCAAGGTCACGTCTAGATTCAGGTATTCAACGCCTTCAATACGGACTGTCCTGTTTAACTCTTAAACTGGTTACTATTTGTAAATCATCAATGAGCAGTCAAAAAGAAGCGGGGACGTGAAAACCGCTTTAAAAAGTCTAATGATTCTCCGCAAGCCTTACCAAATTAATGGTAAGAAATAACACTTATGCAACAGATCTTTTAAAATTTTACTGAAATTACAGGAAATCTGAGCCAGCTTGGACGAAAAAAAAAAAAAAAAGGAATGGAATTGGGCATACGTGGGAAAATCCAACAAAAAACAGCTCTTAAAGATAAGAATGGCAATAATTAACCATTTATATAGCCTGTGCCTGGGAGTCTGTTTCTGTTATGTAGAGGCTTTGTGTATAAAAATAAAAGGTCCACTGTAGGCAGTAGTTGCAAATCGACACCACATATTCTGAGTGGTAAAAGGGTGTTTAACTCCTGGGTGCAATGGATATAGTCACAGGATAGGGCCAATAAAACTGGTTTCACATTCTGGAAGAAGACCGGATGAGGGCCTTGTGCAAACAAGCTTAGAAAATGAAAAGAAATTGAAATCTTGGGCACGGCAGATTTTAAGAGTGATACAGAGTTATTTGACAGTAATAAGGCGGACAGTGCCAAGGATAGCCATGAATTAGGTCACTAAGCATGAAACAATACATTGTATCCAGATTCTAGAACTCCGCTAGAAGAGGTCATATCATTAAATCAGGATTGACCAACCGGAGACTGGTAGATCCCTACCTTCAATATCCTGCCGGACAGTTACTATTAAAGTGTTATTTTCCAGCTCAGCACCCTAAAATTACACACTAGAGTTGAAATACTTGTTCCAAACGTCAGTTTTAAAAGACCGGGATAGGCTGTGCATTCACTGGAGCCTGTACCCTTACAGCTTTATCCACCGATATTCCGTAATCACTATTAAGGCTCTCTTTGGTGTGGCCAACATCAACGCTTTATTACACAGACACTTTTGACAACAGGGCCCGAGTACTTCCAAAATAAGGTAAATCGTGTATGAAGATAGTTGCATTTGCTTTCACCAGTTTTGTGCAAATGTGCGATTATTTTATGTATAAAAACGGTTACTCTCCCTTTATAAATTAGTGAATTATCTTTGGAGTTTTGTGCCTTTTTAGGCTGCTAATTTTACCAACGATTAAATTAGCAAAACAATAGGAATCTGCAGAAGGATTTAATTTTATCCTTAAACAAAAAGGGAGATCACGAAAGTCGCTTACATGTCACAGACAACACGCCACTGACAGTAGAGGAAACGTTTCTCAGAAAGTAAAGGCGCAGGGTTTCAAATGGGACAGGAAAATAAAACCGTAGGAAGTAAGGAAAATTCTGGAGCAAATATTACAAAATATACAATAAATAGGAAAAGCACCAGAAAAACAGCCTAAGAGGTCAACATAACACGTTGCCGAAAGATCTCCAGCATCGCCTGTGGCGTTTTACCAGCATTCTGATCACTCTGGCCCCAGCACCACTAAACAGCGAGGCAGGGAGCAGTACTGGATTGCACAAGCCACTCTGGACCCCAGGGCAAATGGCTTCCTTCATGTTTCAGCTTGGGACACTCCTGAGCAGCCAGTAATAGAACGAACACAGGCTGCAGGCGCTGCTAATGACCCAGGCACTCCTTTTTGGAAAGTATTGTCGGCATGATCAGACCTTCCCGTATGCTGAGCCACATTTACTTCAATGAGATAGGAGCGACCGTGACGCTCAGGCCACAGGCTTTGAACTGGAACCCCTGTACTTAAGACGCAGTGTCAAACCCATGCACAAACATGCCGTGTGTAGGAAACATTAATTTCAGATGTTCGTCCAGGACTGCTGAATAATAAGAACATACATCTTACTTTTTTTGGCCTAACATTTTAACTTCACTTTCACTTCTCATAAATGAATATTTTAGGAAATAACCTTGCAAGACAATACTACTAAACATTACCATGTCAGATAAAAGCCCCAAGAGGTTACGTACGCTCCGGCGCAGTTGGGTAACATTGTCCACATACGAGTATATGAAACTACACAGTATACTTCGAGCAGTTAATCTAATGTAGGTTTTAAAATTAGAGCCATTTAAATTACCAGCTACAGCTCTTCGAATGAATTTTAATTAAATGAATGATTACTATATTTATAGAGCAGCTATGCGACTATATAGACGGTAATAGGCAGCTGACTCACTTTGTGTGAGATAGATACGGTGTACGTTGTGTAAAAGGAAATATTGCACTGTGAATTTAGCATTTAAATTAACTTTATTATGTGGGGCCACGTGAGCTTGCCACACCTTACGGAGGAGGAAAGTTATTAATACACACCTATACATATAAACACACAGTTTGGTTGTATAAATAGTTATTAGTAAGTCACAAAAAAGTGTGTTATTTTAAAGTTACATTTGGTTAGCCTCACAGCTGGTGTTTAGTGCATTCACTGGATTAGGTATGGAATTATATATTGTGTATTCAAATTTAGAATAGATTTATACAATGTATAAAGAAAAAAATATAAACTAAGGCTGCACAGCTGTATGCTCTGTTGGTCCAGGAAACACCTCAAGGGACATGATCGCCTGGTTTTGAGATGGACACATTTGACTGATTTATGATGTGGGACTGGATATGAAATGCACTTCTCATGGTATGTAGCACTCATATGCTGTAGAAATGGAATTTGTTTCTCTTTTTTGTTTAGAATCTCTCTTTGTGCACGACATGAGAGGTTGGCAGGCTGTTATCCTTTACATTAATAAATTAACTTGTTCAAAGTATAAGGAGGTGGCACAGGGGTGTGAATCATTTTAGGTGTGAATTCACCTGGGAGGATTTGTAATTAGAGGTGACGGGTTGGACAATTACTTTCTTTGTACAATTAGAAATCAGCGTTTGATATGGGAGGAGTCTCGCAGTACAGGTCAAACAGTTTGTCATTATGAGCAACACATCCGTATGTCATCAACAATTCACTTGTGGATATTCATTCCCTTTCAAAATTAGGATTTCTAGAAAGGATTTTCTGTATTGTTATCAGCATTATGGGTCTGTGATAAAGCTTTTACCATCCCTGAAATGGTTTATTTGTAATCCGAAATATTAGTGACGTTTTCACAAATCAGGGTCCTTGGTCACCCAACTATCACTGGGGAACAAAGTTACATGTTACTGTAAGCGCGTTTGAGCAGGGTCCTCGACTACCTATTGTTCCTGTGACATTTTGTTATTGTCTCATTCGGTAAACTCCCCTCTTATTGTAAAGCGCTGTGGAATAAGCTGGTGCTATATAAATACCAATAATAATATTAATAATGTGAATTGTTATCTTACATCCTCGTTACCCCGAGCAGGCTCAGTAAGTGTTAAATAACCTCCCATCTAAAGTGCACTGTGCAGGCAGTCATGATTTTAGACACATACCCTCTTGTAGGGTTTTAGGAAATTCAGAAAATAAAAGTCTGTGCATACTGGCAGACTGATAGTCCAGAGTAAAAATGGCAGATAAGTTGGGCCTCAATTTAATATTTTGGAATGAACGATTCATATTATTTAATATATTTTTTGACAAATATTTTAATATATATTTTAGACATTATCATATTTTTGAGGAAAAAAAAAATAGAACAACTTTAAAAGTTTATCCAAAAATATTAAAATGGAAGTCTTAAACCCAACCCATAACCCTACAGCTAAAACAGAGGCTTGGAACCTCTAGTACAAGGATAAGCTACCTTTGGCACTCCAGATGTGGACTACATGTCCCATAATGCTCTTACTCATAATGATAGCAAAGAATCAGGGGAGATATAGTCCCCAATATCAGGTGTGTCGAAGGTTGCCTACGATGGATTCGTCAATACAGGACATTTACAGCATGCGCTGCTCAGAGAGAAAGTGATCCAATGTTCATCTAAACAGAAAATGCTACTATATATGACCAATCTAACATAACAGCCATTCCATTTAACCCAGGATGCTTAGAACAGTCAGTAAGATGGATATAGCTAATCAGGCAAAGTCCACAAATATGACCTTAGCTATTCTAATGTCAGCCATGAATTTAGCCTTTGGCTGTCTGGGCACAATAGAAGTTTTGGTCCATGGATTTAAATGGCCAGAGGCTGCCACTCCCAGTGCAGAGGTCACAGGCCTCCTAGAATTTGTCAAAACACCTGGAACACCCCGTGAAACAGACTTACAGCCACACCTAAAATATTTTAATTGTCTGGGGAGCAAGTAAATAAAGACCTAATTAACCATTTCTAGGAAATAAACACCAATAATCCTGCATTGAAGGCCCAGTGCATGTTCTTTAATTAAAGGAAGAAAGATTTACCTGCTCAGCATGTGCAAAGGTGACCCATACCATTTGAAAGGTGATCCGATGAGACACAGCCCCACGTCATTGCTGGGTCGGCATTGGGTGACCCACAGCTAGCACTCTAATACCTGGTAGCTTCATCATGGAACAAATACTGAAAATTTCACTAACACTGCTATATTTACTGAACTGTAAATACTTCGAATTCAAACTGAATCACAATGTTTGCTTAACTGGAAACTCGCACTTGGAGATTTTTTACAATTTAGCTTTTTTGGGGCCTAAACTTTGACATTTACTACACTGGTGACATTTAGTAAAGGACCCGGCCAGGCGGACTCTGTAAATGAAAGCTCTGGTTAGGATTCTGAAGCCTCGATAGAGATTTTGCAATTCAGTCTGGGTAATGCACTCAAATCTACAGGGGCAAAAAGGGCTAAATCCAGAGAGGTTTCCCAGACAAATAATTTCTACCTGCTGATGGGCAGTGTGTAAAAAGTGCTCCCCACAGTATATGGAAATCATATGCTGTAGGAATTCGTCTTTTAGTCAGTAATCCTATCCAGGCTGCGGGAGAGGTCTAAATGCAAGATGCAGCAGTCAGTCACTCTCCATCCTTGCCCCTACACTCTAGAGAGTTTTAAGAGAACACTGTAAAATCTGAAAAAAACAGGAACATGGAACATCAATGTGGAAGGTGATCCTTTCCTGTATTATGTTAGGATTGATGTTTCATCACAATTACTCTCCATCTACATAGAAGTCTGTCTTCTCACTCATTATCTAGAGACAGTCTTGTGAGTGAACTGTGTGCATGGTACTCTGCCCCCACAACCTGCAAAATGTCCACAGAGCCACGCAGAGACACAACATGCCCACAGAGCCACGCAGCGACACATGCCCACAGAGCCACGCAGCGACACAACATGCCCACAGAGCCACGCAGCGACACAACATGCCCACAGAGCCACGCAGCGACACAACATGCCCACAGAGCCAGGCAGCTAATCAACATGCCCAAAGAGCCAGGCAGCTAATCAACATGCCCACACAGCTAATCAACATGCCCACAGAGCCACACAGCTAATCAACATGCCCAAAGAGCCACACATTGACACTCCACGCAGCCACACCAGCACACATAAAATTTGGGTCTTTACTCTCCACATATTAAACAGGCTCCTAAAATGGCCTACTGGCTGATTATTTTAGGGGTCTCACTCCAAAACTGGAAGTCGTGTTGATAGAGATGTGAAGCATTGTGGAGAAAGAAATGGCTCCAACATTGGATTGTCTGTTTCTTTTCAATGTGGATACAATGTCTCAAAACCTATTTTATAACCTTTTATATTAATACATTGACAGTGGTTAGAGAATGTGAGCCTTTCTCTACACAGGAATATGTGGGGAAAGAAAAGCATTTCAACATTCAACAAAAGACGATCTATAGTTTACTTTAAAAGTGTGTGTGTGTGTGTGTATATATATATATATATGTATATTTATTTATTTTTTATTTTTGACACAGGATTAGGTTAGAAGCTTAGAATGATTGTGGCTTTGGGCATCAGCTGCACACGATGTATAATTAATGATTTGCTTATTATATTTGTGTTTATTTGAAAGAGAAGCAATCATGTTTAGTGCTGATGGAAAAAATGTCTGAAAACACTGCCTGCAATTATTAGAAATATTTCTACTTCGAGATCACAAGTCAGATTGATTACACAGGATTTACTGAATGTAACCTGTAACTTGGGGGACCATGGAGACCGGGGTTTTACTCACTCTGCTGGGAATTGGGGAGAATTGGCAAGAAATGGGCAGATATTGGGCAAAAATAGCAGAGAAAAAGAAATGCATAAAACAGAATTTTTCCTTAAAATTGAAATTCTGAATATAGTAAATAATCTCAATCGTGATTTTGCTGAAAAATTTAATATTTTCTAAACTGCAAAGAATGATCAACTTTTCTAAACAAAATAATTATTGGAACACGTCTGTTGTACTGGCAAACACATCTGCGTTTAGAACGTCCACATTTCCTCGAAGCCTTGAATTTGGAGGTTAAGATGTTTATGCATCAATGCAAGAAACAACACACATCACGCAGGCCTGAAAACTCACATCGACCAAGACACAGAAATGAAAGACTCCACACAAGAGGACAAAATACAAAACGAGCTCAGCCTAGACCCAGCACCGTGACTGGTATTAAATAAACAATACAACCGCCTCAAGTGTTATCTGTAAACATGTTTAATAGGAGAAACGCACACAACTAACTGTGCCGCCTCCAACGCAAAATGGGCATGGACTGCAGCTAAAAACTATAAAACAAAGATACAAGTAAATATATAAAGTAGCTTGGAAAATGAAAGCAGTCTTGCAAGTAATATATATATTTCCAGTAAATTGAAGAACAGAATATATTTTTGTAACTCCATTCATTTCAGGACAAATTACCAACATGTGGGGCACACAGCGTCATATTGCTGCGGTGAGTAACATGCACGGCGTACGTACAGCACTACACCAACACGTACCTCCACGGCGCACGTACAGCACTACACCAACACGTACCTCCACGGCGCACGTACAGCACTACACCAACACGTACCTCCACGGCACACATACGTACCTCCATGGCGCACATACAGCACTACACCAACACATACCTCCACAGCGCACGTACAGCACTACACCAACACGTACCTCCACAGCGCACATATAGCACTACACCAACACGTACCTCCACGGCGCACGTACAGCACTACACCAACACGTACCTCCACGGCGTACGTACAGCACTACACCAACACGTACCTCCACGGCGTACGTACAGCACTACACCAACACGTACCTCCACGGCGCACGTACAGCACTACACCAACACGTACCTCCACGGCGCACATACAGCACTACACCAACACGTACCTCCACGGCGCACGTACAGCACTACACCAACACATACCTCCACAGCGCACGTACAGCACTACACCAACACGTACCTCCACAGCGCACATATAGCACTACACCAACACGTACCTCCACGGCGCACGTACAGCACTACACCAACACGTACCTCCACGGCGTACGTACAGCACTACACCAACACGTACCTCCACGGCGTACGTACAGCACTACACCAACACGTACCTCCACGGCGCACGTACAGCACTACACCAACACGTACCTCCACGGCGCACATACAGCACTACACCAACACGTACCTCCACGGCGCACGTACAGCACTACACCAACACATACCTCCCTTATACATGGATAAGGGAAGCACTGTACATGCATAGCAAGTATACATTCCATCCCTGTCCAAATCTGAGAAGTATGAAACAGAAATGGGAGATGTATTAAAAGCATGTGTATGGGCCCAAATTAGAGAGACTATCCCTCCCAAATCGGGCCACTTGGAGGGTGTGCTTGAAAGTGAGAACAGTAATGAACAGAGCTCGTTATATTTAGATGGAGAGAGTCCTTGACAAAAACTATTTGCCTCTAAATTTTGATTAGATAGACGAGTAAACTGACCGGTACATTTGGAAGACAAGTTACACAATCAGAGCTTTTCTGTAAAACCAAATTACAACGATATCTGCAAGTTGTATTGTGCGTTTGTGTATGAAATATATCTGAGCGTTGTGCAATCTTTTGTTAACACAAGTCAGACTAGAAGCTTCATTTCAAAAAGGTTTCCTTGACCGAAGATCAGCGTGTGGGAACTTGTTTCGGCCCTAGAGACATATTCCGAATTCTCGTGATATCTCGGTGGATAGTTTCAGTTTGATGACATCACTTGTGCAAATTAGAAAATTGTGCAAAATCAGACAAGTAAAAAAAGTACCGTGTTATCTTGCTTCATAAATAACGAACTGTAGCTCTATAACTACCTGGCATTTACATCCCAGACAGTTCCTGGTCTCTCACCATATGGAGCAGTCAATCCCATTTTATTATTTTTTTACTGAAATTTCTTTAAAAATAGTTTATACAGTAAAACAGGATGTAGACAGACTACACAAATTAAACAGAAAACATTACCCGTCTATACGAAGAGCACTGTATAGGTTTTATCACTAAAATGGTTTATACACACAATCTTCTATGTTCCTTTTAGTTTTGCAAAAACACAAGGTTATCACGCACATTATCTGAAACGGTTCTGTATTGTGCTAGCACAGAAATTAAAGACTGACAACAAATAAATAAATATAATTAGACAGAAAATACTTCCCATAAGGGAACGCTATGCTGATAATGTGGAGATTGAGGTGGTTTCAGATCTAATTATGGACGAATATTGACATTCTGGAGAACGGTAATGCTGACTTGAGATTGAACGCATTAACACAGGACTGGAAAGACATCACCCCAGCTTAGTGAGTAGGACCCCAATATTCTCTGTATAACATCACACAAACACTGCAAATGGATTGAAACAACTACATCATGATTAGATTTCATTGCTAACCAGAAGATTCTGAAAAATTAATACGATGCAGCAATTAATCTTGTAGTTTTTTTTTTGTTTTGTTTAGTAGTAAAGTAATTTAATCATTCCCACTATTTTTATTATTGGCATTTATACATCGCCAATTACGCAGCTCTTTACAATATTAAAAAAAAGGGGGACATTTACAAAATGTTACAGGAACAATAGGTTAATGAGGCCTCTGCTCAAAACAACTTACAGTCTAGAGGAGATGGGATAAAAACACATTAGGAAGTGGAACAAGGTGGGGGAGCGGACCCCCCTTACAATAATCCCTCAGAGGCATTGTTTACAATATTTAGAAGGCTCCAACATATACAGCAGCGTAGATCCCACATATAGCTCAAATAAGAGAGCCTGGCCAGTATGGATCTACATGGATGGTAAGGGCTGGGATCCTACAAAGGACTAGACATGGCTTTCAGTCCATTAACCCCCAGGATAAAGGAATGTTGTGTAACAGGATTTCGCAATTAACATTATAAAATCCTGCCCCCACCCTCCCTGGAAAGGAGCAGGCCTGTGATGACAAGTCTATCTTAACTCACACCAAAGGAAGGTGTACAGGAAGGAGTGTGCACAAGGTATTTACATTTACCATAAAGCATATGGAATGTTCCATTCCATTTAAACCTATTTTCTCTCCCCCAGTAACAGAGCTTACTGCTGTATATTTTACCCTCACCTTTAGCAATCTCCCAGAGCTATAACCAGATTTCTCAATATATGGCTAATTGGCAGCCATGTTGCTTTTTATAGAATATACCCAAGAGCTAACTTTTGGGCAAAGACTGCTTGTAAAATGGCGGCATCCAAAGCGGATCATTTGAACCACTTAGATTCCTGATGATTTAACTGACGGTCGCCATGTCCAAGGTAGGCAGGCCGATATATATATATATATATAGTCAACGCTTACCCATTACCCCTAAAGTAATGTACAGCACAGAGAGCCAACGTGCTGACAATGCAAAGGGACTGGAACAAACTCCAAGAATTCTGACAATACCAGCAACATTTTTCCATTTCAAACTGTTATATTTGACATCTGTCTATTCTGATTATCGAGCAGCTTTGTATGAACAATATATATTTCCACTTTCAAGGAATCATTACTTAAATATAATACCGAGACTTTCTACATTAACCTGGCTCCCCTCATATTACCCCCCCATCCACCCAAACATGAGGTGGAAAAAAAAAAGGGTGGGGGGGGAGGGGGAGGGAAGAGATTGCCATGTACTATAATGCTCTGGTTAATGTGTGTTCTGGCAGAAGGCCTATATTAATGCATTCAGGGTTCCAAGGTGTGATTGGCACCTGTAAAGAGCTGAGCTGGGAGAGTAGCAGCTTTCAGCATGTTGATGGAGAATTATCAAAGCAAACTTAGAAAAAAAAAGTGGAGTCAGCAAAACCGAAACAAGTATAATGATTCTACCAATTACACTGGTTAAAAAGGGAGTTTCTCTTTCTGAATAAGCAGCAAGTTTTTTTTTCCAATTCAGAGTACTCCAATAAACACACACATATAAATATACTTACGGAAAATCCCACTGGAATATAAACAACTCCGGACTCAGAATTCCCACTAGCCATTGGCGAGTAGAAATATATATATGTAGCTTAATGTACTACTAGCCAGGCCTTAAAAGTTACATGCCACTGCAAGCCATGGCATACCCTCCAGGGATATATTTTCACTCGCCAATGGCTAGTGGGAATTCCGAGTCCTGAGTTATTTATATTCCAGTGGGATTTTCCGTAAGTAAGTACACATGTCCCGGGCTATCATTTTACACCAAAGTGAATGACTTGTTTGATCTGTTCCTCCCAAAGGGATACCGATACCCCCCTGGGCAGCAAACAAGCTGGAAGTCAGGATAAGGACCACTAATTATCAGATAACATTGATGTCAGGAAGAGTCCAAACAATCATTTTAACCAAGAATGTGAATGATTTACTCAAGGGTGCAATTGAGCCTCCGAGATAAACTGATGAAAACAATTCTGGCCACATTTAGCCCCCCCCACCCCAATAATTGGTGCAATCTATTAAACAATGCCAGGCCTTACCTCGTCCAATCACAGTACTCTCTTTTAATTTCCTTGGCACAGTGAAATAATAGTCTTCCTGGGTGAATCCAGTACTGCCACATATTATCCATGTTGTCAGACCTCCAGTGACCTGCCATTAAAATAGAATTAGTCACGATCCCCAGGGAAGTCCCTAATCAGGTCTCCTGCGTTTATTAATCCATGGTGCTCAGTGGAATAGTAAAGTACCCCATTTTACATAGGGGTTTAATCCTAAACTAGTTACCAGAACTAAACTGGTTTTAAAATAATTTTAGGATTTGACAGACCCTGAAAATATTTTTTTTTTAAGACAGTGATTAAGATAAAGCAATCAGCTGTATAGTCTGCCCATTCCTTTTCACAAGAGTCACTGGCATAGTATAATTACCTGCTCAGTACAAAAAATGTCTCTCCCAAGCTTTCTTTCATTGCCTCTACCACCTCTACTGGAAGGCAATTCCATGCACCCGCAACTCTTTCAGTAAAATACTTCAGATATTTCACTAAACCCCATGGCACTCACAGGGGGCAGTTTCAGGGTAGTTGGGTCTTACAGGTGCTCTCATGGCACTCACAGGGGGCAGTTTCTGGGTAGTTGGATGTTACAGGTGCTCTCATGGCACTCACAGGGGGCAGTTTCTGGGTAGTTGGATGTTACAGGTGCTCTCATGGCACTCACAGGGGGCAGTTTCTGGGTAGTTGGATGTTACAGGTGCTCTCATGGCACTCACAGGGGGCAGTTTCTGGGTAGTTGGATGTTACAGGTGCTCTCATGGCACTCACAGGGGGCAGTTTCTGGGTAGTTGGATGTTACAGGTGCTCTCATGGCACTCACAGGGGGCAGTTTCTGGGTAGTTGGATGTTACAGGTGCTCTCATGGCACTCACAGGGGGCAGTTTCTGGGTAGTTGGATGTTACAGGTGCTCTCATGGCACTCACAGGGGGCAGTTTCTGGGTAGTTGGATGTTACAGGTGCTCTCATGGCACTCACAGGGGGCAGTTTCTGGGTAGTTGGATGTTACAGGTGCTCTCATGGCACTCACAGGGGGCAGTTTCTAGGTAGTTAGGTGTTACAGATGCTCTCATGGCACTCACAGGGGGCAGTTTCTAGGTAGTTAGGTATTACAGGTGCTCTCATGTTGTTAATTTGTAGGTAAGTGGAAGAGTACTAACCTGTAAAGTTAGGACGAACAGGACGAGCGATCCAGGGGGGTTCCGGGGTTTCTTCATCCCCGCTGGGTGTCCGGAGTAATGCGCTAGCTGCCCTGGAATGTCCCGGTTAGTTAGGATACAATGTATCAGTGAGTGCTCCTTGCCCTGATCCCAGCCTGTGACTGCTTATACTGGGCGCGGCCAGGAGCCAGGTAACATTAAAAGGCTCAGTCCTGGGAGGGGTAATGGCTGACCCTCCCCCTCCCTGATCTCCAAACTAGGACTGAAACTAGTATCAGGGCGATCACTCCCACTCACAGGGACTGGCACTCACCTGGGAGCAGGTATCACTGAGTCACAGACACTGCGATGGTTTCAGTCCCTGCCCATCACTCTAGGGGGCAGTACTGAGGCTATAGGAAGGATCAGCCATTGTTACTCAGTATAGGGGGCAGTACTGAGGCTATAGGAAGGATCAGCCATTGTTACTCAGTATAGGGGGCAGTACTGAGGCTATAGGAAGGATCAGCCATTGTTACTCAGTATAGGGGGGCAGTACTGAGGCTATAGGAAGGATCAGCCGTTGTTACTCAGTATAGGGGGGCAGTACTGAGGCTATAAGAAGGATCAGCCATTGTTACTCAGTATAGGGGGGCAGTACTGAGGCTATAGGAAGGATCAGCCGTTGTTACTCAGTATAGGGGGCAGTACTGAGGCTATAAGAAGGATCAGCCATTGTTACTCAGTATAGCGGGGCAGTACTGAGGCTATAGGAAGGATCCATTGTTACTCAGTATAGGGGGACAGTACTGAGGCTTATAGGAAGGATCAGCATTGTTACTCAGTATAGGGGGGCAGTACTGAGGCTATAGGAAGGATCAGCCATTGTTACTCAGTATAGGGGGGCAGTACTGAGGCTATAGGAAGGATCAGCCATTGTTACTCAGTATAGGGGGGCAGTACTGAGGCTATAGGAAGGATCAGCCATTGTTACTCAGTATAGGGGCAGTACTGAGGCTATAGGAAGGATCAGCCATTGTTACTCAGTATAGGGGGGCAGTATTGAGGCTATAGGAAGTATCAGCCATTGTTACTCAGTATAGGGGCAGTACTGAGGCTATAGGAAGGATCAGCCATTGTTACTCAGTATAGGGGGCAGTATTGAGGCTATAGGAAGTATCAGCCATTGTTACTCAGTATAGGGGGCAGTACTGAGGCTATAGGAAGTATCAGCCATTGTTACTCAGTATAGGGGGCAGTACTGAGGCTATAGGAAGGATCAGCCATTGTTACTCAGTATAGGGGCAGTACTGAGGCTATAGGAAGGATCAGCCATTGTTACTCAGTATAGGGGACAGTACTGAGGCTATAGGAAGTATCAGCCATTGTTACTCAGTATAGGGGGCAGTACTGAGGCTATAGGAAGGATCAGCCATTGTTACTCAGTATAGGGGCAGTACTGAGGCTATAGGAAGGATCAGCCGTTGTTACTCAGTATAGGGGGCAGTATGAGGCTATAGGAAGGATCAGCCATTGTTACTCAGTATAGGGGGGCAGTACTGAGGCTATAGGAAGGATCAGCCGTTGTTACTCGTATAGGGGGCAGTATGAGGCTATAGAAGGATCAGCCATTGTTACTCAGTATAGGGGGCAGTACTGAGGCTATAGGAAGGATCAGCCATTGTTACTCAGTATAGGGGGGCAGTATTGAGGCTATAGGAAGGATCAGCCATTGTTACTCAGTATAGGGGGCAGTACTGAGGCTATAGGAAGGATCAGCCATTGTTACTCAGTATAGGGGGGCAGTACTGAGGCTATAGGAAGGATCAGCCGTTGTTACTCAGTATAGGGGGCAGTACTGAGGCTATAAGAAGGATCAGCCATTGTTACTCAGTATAGGGGGCAGTACTGAGGCTATAGGAAGGATCAGCCATTGTTACTCAGTATAGGGGGGCAGTACTGAGGCTATAGGAAGGATCAGCCATTGTTACTCAGTATAGGGGGGCAGTACTGAGGCTATAGGAAGTATCAGCCATTGTTACTCAGTAGAGGGGCAATATTGAGGTTATAGGAAGTATCAGCCATTGTTACTCAGTATAGGGGCAATATTGAGGCTATAGGAAGTATCAGCCATTGTTACTCAGTATAGGGAGCAATATTGAGGCTATAGGAAGTATCAGCCATTGTTACTCAGTATAGGGTCAATATTGAGGCTATAGGAAGTATCAGCCATTGTTACTCAGTATAGGGGGGCAGTACTGAGGCTATAGGAAGTATCAGCCATTGTTACTCAGTTTAGGGACAATATTGAGGCTATAGGAAGGATCAGCCATTGTTACTCAGTATAGGGGGGCAGTACTGAGGCTATAGGAAGTATCAGCCATTGTTACTCAGTAGAGGGGCAATATTGAGGTTATAGGAAGTATCAGCCATTGTTACTCAGTATAGGGGCAATATTAGGAAGGCTATAGTAGAGGGGCAATATTGAGGTTATAGGAAGTATCAGCCATTGTTACTCAGTATAGGGGCAATATTGAGGCTATAGGAAGTATCAGCCATTGTTACTCAGTAGAGGGGCAATATTGAGGCTATAGGAAGTATCAGCCATTGTTACTCAGTATAGGGGCAATATTGAGGCTATAGGAAGTATCAGCCATTGTTACTCAGTATAGGGGGGCAGTACTGAGGCTATAGGAAGTATCAGCCATTGTTACTCAGTATAGGGGGGCAGTACTGAGGCTATAGGAAGTATCAGCCATTGTTACTCAGTATAGGGGCAATATTAGGAAGGCTATAGGAAGTATCAGCCATTGTTACTCAGTTTAGGGACAATATTGAGGCTATAGGAAGTATCAGCCACTGACAAAAAATGTTTATTCATATTATTTTCCACTAATTTTTTTATCATTGACTGCTCGTTTAAGCGTTAAACGTATGAATCTTCCTGTGACAGCCATGTTTTCTAAAGGCTACGAAAGGTGTCAGAGAAAACTGTAACTGTGTCCATTGTAAAGTATGGCACTGAGAATAGGATGTGCTGGAAGAGAAATGTATTTGATATGTAATTTATTATAATTTTTTATATATATAAATATATTTTATAAATATGTAAAAGGAAAATATGGCATTTTTAAAAATTGAATATTCCTATGAAATGCTGTGTGCGCCGCGTCACTCCGCCATTAGTTCTGTTCCTACAGGAGACTCTCCTTTAAATCAATATTTATGTGTTTGCTTTGTGTTTCGGACTTTGTTCCAGGATCATTAACTACAGTGAGAACTGTCGAGAATTTAAAGTGAAATTCAAGTTTTAGACCAAAGTAGCTAACCTGGACGTATGGGTGACTTGGAGAATTTTCCCAGTTCAGTTATTTTAGCCCTAAATTTGAAATTAATTTTGAATTCACTTACAGTTTAAATTTCTTTGGAATTCCAGCACATTCAAAGGATAGAGCAGGGACTAGTTTGTCTCGTGTAACTGCTAATCTTTCACAAATGTTTTCCCCGCCATTATCCATTGGTCGAGATAGCTGATGACACCATTTAATAATAGAGCGATGTTTATTTCTTTCGGTTTGGTCCCCACTCCACCACTTCCACACAAGTGTACGGGTCACTATGTAAAAACACGGACTCTAAAAGAGACAGTACAACTTTAATACGGCCTCTGCGTTCAACAAATGTCACGGTTACTGCTATGTTTTTTTTTTCTTCAATCAGTTAAATTCCAGCAATAAATAGTAACTGTGTATTTAAATTTGCAGAAATACGTTAAGTTTGTGTTTGAGCGCAGCGTTTGTGTTAAATCAGGAAGCTATATATTTTGGTCAGCGATGCCCGAACATTCACACATAACTGTGTATATATTTATTTGTTTATCCAATAAACCCCTTAACGCAGATTCCCCGCAGATCGCTATCTGAGCTTATTCACTGATGTGAGAATTTAAAGTGAATGCAAACTTTAAGGTCAAAGTAACCGAACTGGAATAAGTGTGAGTGAGCTACATTTTGTTTGGCTACTCTGGTCTTAAATGGGAAATTCACTCTGCATAACCCTATATAAGCGGACACTGAGAATCCTATTCTATGTGGAGTGTCAATGTACGTAATTAGAGAGAAAGACACCGGCCTCCAGTCTTGGATGTTGTAACGAGGCTGAGGGTGAATTTTATGAAATTGTCTGGTTTCCGTGTTTCAAATTGTTTTACTTTCATCAGGTATTTACCATAAATAGAAACTTTGAGGATCCGCAGACAGATACCGGGTGAGCAGGAAATACCTGTGATTCACACGGCTTTGTGGTCATTCACTAAGTGATGTCACCAAAGTAAATGAACCTAGAGAGCAGGAAATCTGATAGGAGGTGGGATGGGACTATGAACGAGGCACAAACAAGCCAACTCAGGATGGTTGGAATGATCAAATGAGGTTCTGAATAAATACACAACTTGTTACCACGTGTCTGTCCTAAAGTATAAGTGTGGGCTATCAGCTCCCATCAGTTAAATCGTGGTGGGACCGGAGACACCGGCCATCCTGTTCATAGGGATCCATGCCCTAGGGCAACAGGAAAACAAACGTTAACAGGGCTATTTACAAAATGAGATTTCAAAGTGAATTTCAGAGGCTACCCACAGCTGAACAGGAGGATGTTATAGAGTAAAATATTCCTAATCCTATATTGAGCGGTATACAGTCCAAGCACCAAAACCACTGCACATTGTAGTGTTTACGGTGATACATAATAATAACAAAGTATTTAACCAGGAAAAGTACATTCAGATTACTCTGGTTTTCAAGTACGTCCTGGGGGTGTTACCTTAGCTCAACATCCAGGGGTTGTTACTATTACCTAATTTAGTGTGCCTGTTTAAGACGCACAGTCCCTATTTTGAGCCCAAATCCCTCTGTCCTCTCCTAATGTCCCCCTTTTCTATGAGCTCCATAATGTTGGTGTGTCTGAGTGTACCAGTGTGTCTGAGTATATTGCTCCACAGCAATAATACTCCCAGTAATGTGCCTGATTGTATAACAGAGCTCCACAGCAATAATACTCCCAGTAATGTGTCTGAGTGTATAACAGAGCCCCACAGCAATAATACTCCCAGTAATGTGTCTGAGTGTATAACAGAGCTCCACAGCAATAATACTCCCAGTAATGTGTCTGAGTGTATAACAGAGCTCCACAGCAATAATACTCCCAGTAATGTGTCTGAGTGTATAACAGAGCTCCACAGCAATAATACTCCCAGTAATGTGTCTGAGTGTATAACAGAGCTCCACAGCAATAATACTCCCAGTAATGTGTCTGAGTGTATAACAGAGCTCCACAGCAATAATACTCCCAGTAATGTGTCTGAGTGTATAACAGAGCTCCACCGCAATAATACTCCTAGTAATGTGTCTGAATGTATAATAGAGCTCCACAGCAGTAATACTCCCAGTAATGTGTCTGAGTGTATAACAGAGCTCCACAGCAATAATACTCCCAGTAATGTGTCTGAGTGTATAACAGAGCCCCACAGCAATAATACTCCCAGTAATGTGTCTGAGTGTATAACAGAGCTCCACAGCAATAATACTCTCAGTAATGTGTCTGACTGTATTGCTCCACAGTAATAATACTCTCAGTAATGTGTCTGACTGTATTGCTCCACAGTAATAATACTCTCAGTAATGTGTCTGACTGTATTGCTCCACAGTAGGGGTAGTCAACCTTTTTCTACCTACCGCCCACTAATGCATCTTTCGCCCACCAGTGCTGCAGTAACTCAAACTTTTTAGCGCAAGTGTCTTAAGATACTCTGGTAAATAGCCACGAGCGTATTTCTTATTTTCAGACGTGGGTTCTAAATTTGTTGCACAATTTAACAACTACTTTTACTCTTACCACGTTTTGATTGGCACTCCACACAGTGCTTCCCCCGCCCTCTTTTCCTTTTATTACAAACACCAAAAACAACGCTGTATTAGCTGCCAGTTTTTATTACGTGTCACCAGAAAAAGAAATCCCTTTTTTTTTCTACTTTTCCTGCCTCCTTCTTCTTTACCTTCCTTATATTATATCAATATATCAGGGGTCTCTTTATTCTCTCCTCCTCGTCCTTCCTCTCTAAACACTGCTTTCTCTCCTCCTTTTATTTTAGCCCCATTTTTCTTCCCTTTTTTACATTTTTTTTTTATCTTTTCCTTTCGATCTTTTTTTTTAATGCTATTCTTTTACCTTCCTTAGAGCAATGTCCAAAAGCAAGGCTGAGCTCACTAGCCCACTGATTATTAGCCAACAACAATTCTCTCCTTGTCCTGCCTATAACTTTTCTTTCTCATATTTTAAAAGTGCTCTGCTCTGCTTCTGCCCTCTATTGCCTCTCCCTGATATCGTGCATCAGCTCCCACTCCTCCCCTTCCTTTTCCCACCTGTTACACTCGCTCGTGTTGACGGGTTCTTGTGCGCGTGTTTGCATGAGTTCGCATGCGTTCGGACGTGTTCGGGCACTCGCGCCCGCCTGCCCACTCTCTCGATGGATAAAAGATTCAGCTTGTTGTGCTGCAGAATCCCCTATCGCCCACCTAGAATCCTGAAACGCCCACTAGTGGGCGGCAGGGACCAGGTTGATGACCCATGCTCCACAGCAATAATACTCCCAGTAATGTGTCTTTAAACTGCAATAACTGTATTTAGAAATCAGTTTGTGGAAATAAGATACATTGTTCTTGTTCTAAATTACATTTTAGTTGGATAATTGTTATTAGTAAGTCACCTAAATTCTCAGCCCTGTCCATACCCCCACTCACACCCCTAAAATTAAAGTGTCCGTCTTTGTCCTTATGAAATGTTGGGAGATCTGAAGAAGTTGGAGGTAAGAGACTGAGCCAAGGTAACATGGGAATAGGCAGCTGCCTTGAGAACCAGCCTTTCGAATTTCAGTTTACAGTAACGTGTATTGCCAATGAAGCTACATTTGGCTAACGCATCATCAGTAAAATCTATTTAACCATTGGCGGTCGCAGGTTCAATAAAGCCGAGAGAGAGTGAGTTTATTTTTTACTTTGAAAAGACCAATTCCACGTAACTGGTACTCAGCAGATGAAGCTTTCAAAGGCCATGGCAGTCTGAGGGCCATCGTACAAGACATGGTATCATCCACATACCTTCTCATTGTGCGGTAAAATGAAATATATATGATTGTATTATGCACTATAAACTTCCTTTTACCATCAGCGGTCACCAGTGTCGTCTAATGGGATACAGCAAAGAGCAGCTCATTAAGACGGCCACGTCAATCTATCGAGCATGTTAGTATGTCACTGAAACACCTTGTATAAAGACAGCATTATGATTAAGAGCACCATGGGAGGTTAGGTCCACAATATCTGGAGTGCCAACTGTTGCCTGCCCCTGCATTAGAGTGTGTTACGTTACCTGTAACTTTGTTCCTCTTTGCCTCATTTTTGACACCACACAAAGACCAATCTAGACCCCCATTATTTAGGTGTCCGTTTTGACACAGAATGCTGCTACCCTGCGCCATTTTTTAATAATATGCTCTACATCAATGGATATGCATGTTCTAAGCGCTCGGAAATGATACAGACCTAGCTAAGCCTTCTTAGAGCGGTCATTGTGTGTCCCACTAGCATGTTATTTGATTATCCTGATCTCTGTTCCTCTAGACCCAGCCTGGCATTACGTTCTTGTGTATTTCTGGATCCCTTGGCTATTTTTGCCTACTATAGGCACTGTGTTAAACCCTTGAAGAACCAATAAAACGCCACGATCCCTTTAATACTGTTAGGATAGTGCAGGTTCATGTCCTCACCTTGACGCATGGATTGCTTTAAAGATAAAAGAGGTAAGTACAGGCTGCAGGAATAAAACCAGAGAAATAGGGGTGGGGGGGGGGAGTGTGTGTATAAAAATAATGGGGGATACCTACTGCAACAAAGTGCATCTCTTTCCAAGTCACTTATCTGCAAATCGTTGCAAAATCTTAGAAACTGACAGACTTTGAACAAAAATGAGTTCATTAATTAGGAAAAAAAAATTACTATCGTCCAATTGACATAAAATAATATTCAATTCAAATACCTGGTGATAGTCTGGGAAGATCAAAGACACAATAACCACACGAGACATGACTAATACAATATATAAAGGAGAACTTCGAAGGGACAGGTTCCTCAAATATGTCGTTAAAATTCTCAGTTTCTTTTACCCGCTGCACACAGTTACAGAGAATGTGAGAAATGGATGGGGGTTGTGTAACTTACCCGGTAAAAAGAAACGGGGGGGAAAATACATAAAAATTAAGGTACCATTGAGGTTATGTAGAGGAATAAGGAAGGCGATCCTTCCAAGAACAGACGTGTGAAAAGCAATATTTTAAGTAAATTTAACGTTATTTATACCATTTTTCATTTTGGCTACTTTTTGTTTGTGACAAACTATGGATTTTTTTTAAAATTGAGAGAAACAAAGATTTATTTTAACACATTTACGGTGGACTAGATTGCTTAGTCTTGCTTTTTTGTACAAATCCAGCTTTTCTACCGGTTTTGAGCTCTGACCTGTGACCCAGTCTAAGCATACTGCAGACTAAGAGACGTCCCCTCCCCCATATGCAGGTTTTCATTTCTCCACCTCTCTGTATGCTCTCTCTATACTGACTGCCAGGTGTAAAGGGTGGAGCTTATAACAATGATTGACAGGGAGCTAAGATGGATGTGCCTCTCTCTATACTGACTGCCAGGTGTAAAGGGCGGAGCTTATAACAATGATTGACAGGGAGCTAAGATGGAGGTGGCTCTCTATACTGACTGCCAGGTGTAAAGGGCGGAGCTTATAACAATGATTGACAGGGAGCTAAGATGGAGGTGGCTCTCTCTATACTGACTGCCAGGTGTAAAGGGCGGAGCTTATAACAATGATTGACAGGGAGCTAAGATGGAGGCGGCTCTCTCTATACTGACTGCCAGGTGTAAAGGGCGGAGCTTATAACAATGATTGACAGGGAGCTAAGATGGAGGTGGCTCTCTCTATACTGACTGCCAGGTGTAAAGGGCGGAGCTTATAACAATGATTGACAGGGAGCTAAGATGGAGGCGGCTCTCTATACTGACTGCCAGGTGTAAAGGGCGGAGCTTATAACAATGATTGACAGGGAGCTAAGATGGAGGCGGCTCTCTCTATACTGACTGCCAGGTGTAAAGGGCGGAGCTTATAACAATGATTGACAGGGAGCTAAGATGGAGGCTGCTCTCTCTATACTGACTGCCAGGTGTAAAGGGCGGAGCTTATAACAATGATTGACAGGGAGCTAAGATGGAGGTGGCATACTGACTGCCAGGTGTAAAGGGCGGAGCTTATAACAATGATTGACAGGGAGCTAAGATGGAGGCAGCTCTCTTTACTGACTGCCAGGTGTAAAGGGCGGGGCTTATAACAATGACTGACAGGGAGCGAAGATGGAGGTGCCCAGTTGCTGGTTAAAAAAAATAAAAAGGTGTAGATTTCTACATTTAAATTTATATTTTACACCTCACAAATACAGGTGTTAGATTCAGAGAAACTGAATATTAGAAGCCCTGGGAACGCACCGTCCCCTTTGAAAGAGACAGATTCCTAGCTGGATCTGTAATGAGGGGCATTGGTAAAATATCACTTAATAGACTCCAGGAATATTGTGACTCATCCCAGGGAATTTTCTGAAGGACCATAAACCATCAGTTGTTTTTATAGTCTTCACAGTTTCCCACCGAGGGTCAAGTCCTTCCACAGAGACTGAAAATGCTGTACAGAGCAATTGTTTTATACATGAAAAGTTGCGCAAGATTACCCTTGTATATGCCAGTAACCATCTTAGGGAACATCCAGGTATACAGGCGAAGGAAACCCTCTCTGGAACTAAAAGAATTGGAGAAGCCTAGGGAACTGCCTTGAGGGGTAGGGCTATGAACAATTAACGGATGATGCCTATATTCGTTCATCTACTCCGCCCAGACTGACTTTAAAGAATGATAACTTCCCTCACTGGCAATGGTGGGAACCTCTCGTGATTTCTGAGGTGAACCACAATTG